ATAGACCTGCTAAATTAATAGGATATAAACTCACTGTTTAATTTTAGAAAAGGACCAGTATGCATTTAACAGTGCTTGTTCCCTACAGTGGAGAAGTGCAGCATATGTCATGATGACAGTTCAGCATTGCAAAATTACGACCTTGCTCTCTCTTTTCAGTGCATACTTGGTGCCTGATCAATAAGCACTTTGGGGACTAATTAAAGTCAGTTCAGTGATGGATACTCTCACTGGATAGTATATCTTTCAAGAGTTTGGTGGACATTTGAGAAGCGGTATTGCTTATATCATCAGATTATTTGTCGTTTGAATAACAGATCTGTGGATCTGTTAAATAATCACAGATCGGAGATCTGTGGACCTCAGAACTCTTTATACAGTAAGTCTATTTATAAGAAATAGGCAAGCCTGTTACTGTCTTTTGAAAACTCTAGGGAGAAAAGATTGTATAATGTTAAGGGGGAGTGTCATATATGCAACTTAGCATGCAAATTCTAAGCTAATTTGTCAAGGAAGTGTGCACTGAAATACTTGGAAGCCAGTTCCCTAGCTTGTTCCCATTTAATTTCCATATGTGTTTGTCTAATGCTTTCTCAAGTTAAGTTTAGCTGCTGCAGTATCTGCTCTTAAAAAAACTTGACAAATCATGAAGAAGGCTGGAGCTGTCAGCTTTCCCCAGAGGCTTGCAAAATAATGATGTCACTAGTGCATGAGATAAGCAGTGCTGTCAACATAACAAGCTGGACAGGAGTCGAATGCATAGGCTGATCACTGCTCTGTAGATAGAAGGTATTGATTTCTAAGCCAGTGTGGCTCGGGTAGGACAGACTGTGTTGTCTAGCCCTGAATATACTGTCAAAGGGAGAGCTTCTTTTTCAATTTTACCTATACTAGGAATCATTTGTAGTGAGCAGGTTTGTGCAAAGTTTGTTTCAGGAACATGGGTTTCAAGTAGACATCTTGGTTATCCATAAAGACTATGAGCTCCATGTTGTCCTCACACAAAACCTGACTTTCATTCAGTGAGGCACTTTGGATTTGGCAGCAGGTGCTGTAAGCAGCCAGTGAGAGAAGAAATACTCTTCAGTGATGTGAGGTTAGCAGAGTCAGCGTGGAGGCATCTGAGCCTCTTGGTGAAAGCTGGTGGTGATACACTTGTGCTCCTTCACTCAACAAGGAGGCAAGCTGAAATGTCACACCCGCTGCAGAAGGACGTTTATGCCTAGACCACTGGGCTACAGGGCACTCAGAAAAAATGCTTCAAAAGCTTCAGTGCTTACTGCTTTTGTCAAGCAGAACAAATCCTTGCTTCACCACTTAAGTCAGATGCTTTGAAATATGCTGTTAGGAAACTCTCTTTGCAGGCAGAAAACCTGAAAGAGTACGAAAGAAAATTACTTTCCCAAGTAGTAAGACACATAAGTTAGCCTTGTCCTACCAACTAAAAAGCCCCGATGCTGATGCAGGACAAAAGAAAAATATAGAAGCAAACACCTCAAGACTTGTGTAAAGAAGGACTCAAATAAATTAATAAGAAAGCCAGAAGAGAAGGGCACAACCTTGTTTTTAATTTCCTTTTCCCATCATTTTTAATCGAGCCGTATCACTGATTTTCAGATTTGTCTTATAAATTTCTTTAAGAAGAGCATTTCTTCTCTTTTCAGTAATTCTTTCCCTGTGACTATATAAGTTAGTCTCCCTAGTTACAGATTATTGACAATTTTAGAAATGGCTTAGGTAAGAGTACAGGTTTTTGGGAGCTGAATGTGCCGTTTAGTTAAGCTGAAAACCATGCAGAACTCGGCTACACAGGTTTCCTTTCTCTTCCCTGCTTGTCTTGTTTCGTTTCCCCTCATTCCTGTAGACTGAGCTGCTGGGACAGCATCTCATGGGCTGTGCTCGGGCAGGGAGCTCTGCACTCTGGTCAGGCCTTGGAGCACAATGACATTATAAGATAGCAGCAGCAGCAATAACACTAAGCCAGGCTCCAGGCAGTTTAGTGTGGAGTTTTTTTCAGCAGAGAGCTGTAAACTTGTGTTTTTAAAAATAAAAACAAGGCTACTCTTTTTGATGCATGTCTCCCAACTGTTTTACCTTTCCCCAGGAAGTTAGTGAAGAGTTGCCTGTTTCATTTTTAATATCAATCCTATTTCGGTTGTACCAACAGCATGGCACCAGTATTAAATACTGGCGTACACAGTTATGGTGTATAACATATGCATAACATGAATGGTTATGCAAAAATTGCAGCTCTCTAAAAGCTCTTTTCTTTCTGTTGGACAAGACTTCAAATATGCATCAGTTCAGCCATCGCCTGACACGACGTGCAATCAGTTTGTGTCAATCCCCACTAGGCTGGGCTGCAGCAAATTTGCACTATGTAGCTTTGGTGTCCCCAGTGTTGCCACACTGTGGACACTTGATGGGCTGCCCTATGTACTCAGTTAAAAAACCACAGAATCACAGAACGTTAGAGGTTGGAAGGGACCTTGAAAGATTATTCAGTCCAACCCTCCTGTCAGAGCAGGATCACCTACAGTAGGTCACACAGGAACACGTCCTGACAGTTTTTGAATGTCTCCAGAGAGGGAGACTCCCCAACCTCTCTGGGCAGCCTGTGCCAGTGCTCTGTCACCCTCACAGTGAAGAAATTTTTCCTCATGATTCTGTGGAACCTCCTATGCTCTAGCTTGCACTTGTTGCCATTTGTTCTGTCATCGGACATCACTGAGAAGAGCCTGGCTCACCCTTTACGTATTTCTAAACATGAATGTCAACCCTCAGCCTCCTCTTCTCCAAACTGAAGAGACCCAGCTCCTTCAGACTTTCCTCATAAGGGAGATGTTCCACTCCCTTCATCATCTTTGTGGCTCTGTGCTGAACTCTCTCAAGCAGTTCCCTGTCTCTCTTGAGCTGAGGGGCCCAGAACTGGACACAATATTCCAGATGTGGCCTCACCAGGGAAGAGCAGAGGGGAAGGAGAACCTCTCTCAACCCACTAGTCACCCTCCTTCTAATACACCCCAGGATGCCATTGGCCTTCTTGGCCATGAGGGCACATTGCTGGCTCATGGGCATCCTGCTGCCCACTAGGACTCCCAGGTACCTTTCCGCTTTGCTACTTTCCAACAGGTCAGTCCCCAACCTGTACAGGTACTTGAGGTTGTTCTTTCCCAGGTGCAAGACTCTACACTTGCCCTTGTTGTATTTAATAAAATTTCTCCCTGCCCAGCTCTCCAGCCTGTTTAGGTCTCTCTGAATGGCAGCACAGCCCTCTGGTGTGTCAGCCACTCCTCCCAGTTTTGTGTCATCAGCAAACTTGCTGACGGTGTGCTCTGTTCACTCATCCAGGTTGTTGATGAATATATTGAATAGTACTGGTCCCAATACTGACCCCTGAGGGACTACACTAAATACAGGCCTCCAACTAGACTCTGTCCTGTTGACCACAACTCTCTGACTTCTTCCCTTCAGCCAGTTCACAATCCACCTCACTACCTGGTCATCCAGACCACACTTCCAGTTTAGCTCTGAGGATGCTGTCGTAGGCAGTGTCAGATGCTTTACTGAAATCCAGATAACCCACGTCTACTGCACTCCCTAAGGAATATTTCAAGGCAACTCCCCAAACTAGTCAGTCTCTTGCATGGGGCACACAAAGCTTTACTGAGGGAGGAACAGCCCGCTGGATTCCTCTCTGGCTGTGACTTTCAGAGGAGATGGGAATGGCTTGCATGGCCTTGGCCCAAAGATAACATGTGCTGGCAAGAGCTCTGGGACCCCGTGAAGAAGAGAGGAGGCTGCTGGCGGCCTGAGGATGCCTTCCTGCTTTGTTCCTTGCCTGAAACTTAAGACAACAACCAGAAAAGTAGAAAAAACAAATGTCTGAGGATGGTGGGAAGAGGCTTTCTTTGCTGGAGGTGGGCAGCCTTTCCCAGCAGAGATGTTTGTGGTTGCTTGCTGCCCACTATGTAGTGTTTGAGCTGAGTCTTTTCTTGCTTGAAGAAGAAAGGGAGGACTGGACTGAAACGGTCCCTCTCCTTTGTGGCCTGTGCAAGCACACCTTTGCAGGCTGGCAGCCCAAACTGGCTTGGCACAGAGCCAGCGAGTGTGAAGAGGGAATATAATGGTATTAACTGGGAGGGCTATCTCCACAACTTATTTATCCGACGGCTCCTTGAGCAGCTCTCAACTGGTTTTATGTCATGCCCAATCTGCTGGCTGCACAGGTGGGAGTCACATCTTTCCAGACTGTGGAGAGCTGTCCCACCGGCTGGGGATGTGCTCCCACACTGATGCTTCCTTCCCCTTTCCTCAGTGCTGAAGGGGTTCCTCTGCTTTCATAGAATCATAGAATGGCCTAGGCTGGAAGGGACCTTGGAGATCATCTAGTCCAACCTCCCTGTCATGGGCAGGGATGCCATATTTTTCAAATATTCCATGACCACAGCCAAGCTGTTCACTTTGCCCTGAAGAAGTCATATATAGCATTGATAGAGACTTAGTGTGATATGTCGTTATTTCAAGTTTTCATTCAAAGACAAGAATCCTGAAGTTTAATAAGAAGGACTTTGCTCTTTCCTATCAGAGCAACAAAAAGAAGTAAGTGAAAAAAAAATTCTACATACTTTTGTTGCTGCTGCAAGATTTGATAGCTTGCTGTCCCGTTGCCTGTCAAAATATTTCAATCATGCAAGGCCCTTCTGAGGAGAAATTAAGAAGGATGAGAGATGATCTCACGTGCTTACGTTACAAGTAGTTCGCCATCACCTTTCTCTTTATTCATAGTGCTTCGTAAAGTGCTCTGAACATTTAGAATAATAGATAGAGAAAAATAAAATAAAAATGCAACCAGAAATCCTCAATCTCTGTTGGCAAAGAAACTTATCCAAGCTTGACATTTATAAGAGAATGTTTTACTCAAAGACCCTGTGATTTTTCTGCAGGTACCTTTGTATTTTCATTTTGTCCTAACTCATCTTTGACTCCATCTCCTTCAGGTCATGAAAACATACCACATGTATCATGCAGAGAGCATCAGTGCAGAAAGCAAACTGAAGGAGGCAGAGAAGCAAGAAGAAAAACAGATTGGGAGGTCAGGAGACCCTGTTTTTCATATTCGACTAGAAGAAAGGCACCAGAGACGGAGTTCTGTGAAAAAGATTGAAAAAATGAAGGAAAAAGTAAATAGTCCTTTTATTTACCTTCGTGTGTATTTCAGATATTGTTTATATGATATTATGCAGAGAAGTCCAGCTGGAAAATGAAATAATAAACTACGAGTGGGTTATATATAACTTGACTTAATTGAAGTTTGGAGAGGGGAATACTTACTGTATGGTTTGTCCAATTTGAAACAAAATACTAAGTTATCACTTTGTATCACATTTGTTATATGCATAACAGTCTGGAAACTAAGACTCATTCTTGTTGGTGGGAATATGTGCTTGAATTGTTCCATTTTTGTTACATACCAAAAATTAATTAATTCAGATACATTAATATACAATCTTTTTTCTAGCGTCAAGCAAAATATTCTGAAAACAAGCTGAAATCTATCAAGGCCCGTAATGAGTATCTGCTTACCCTTGAAGCAACCAATGCTTCTGTTTTCAAGTATTATATTCATGACCTTTCGGATTTAATTGACGTAAGTATTAGCACATTTGTTTTTATGTTTGTTTACTTCGGGAACAAAACTTTTTTCTTTTTCTCATTTTCAAAGGGAGTACATTGGTCATATGAATAGTCTACAATATGCTTATTATTTATAAGATTGTATGGTATAATCAGGAATTTTTAGCTTCAGTTTTATATTACACGAAATAAAGTGCCAGTAAGATGCTGAACCCATTCCTTCAAAATTAGAACGTTATGCTTTCTCCCTACATGTCAAGAGAAAATGGGAATAACGCAAAAATAAAAGGCAGACATCTCCTGTAAAAGAATTTCTGAGGTCCAAATGTTTTTTTACTAGATAAGCCTGCTAAGTAGGCATCTAATAATGGTATTTTAATTCAAAATAATGCATTTCCTCCGTGTCTTCAAAACCATTCAGTTTCATTCATTTAGTCATTGAATCGAATATACACTGCTTTTTATTCTTATTTCATGTAGTTTGCAGAACAGACACAATCAATCCTGTACTCTCTGCTGTCAACAGAATTGTTACTGATTTTCATTATTGTTATTCCCATGAGAACATCCTAAGAGAATGAGGTTACACACTGATGTTGATTTGTACTAACTTTGGATCTCCAGAACCTGTATTACTGACATTTTTAGATTCAGGAGGATCCCACAGTCTATCGTGTCCCACTCTCTTCATAAGCTGACCAAATATTGGATAGAGAAAAATTGGAGGCAGTAAACACAAGCTTGAGAATATCCATCCACTAGCTATGGTAGTGTTAAATAAGTCAGTGAGTACACCTCTGTGGCCCATATGAAATGCTACATATGTTAATGTGCTTCCTCCTGCAGCAATAATGTTTGTTATTTAGAATAGTAAATGACATTCACATACAGTCATTTCTGGTGGGATATTCATCACAAAGATAAGCTAGCTAAGCTTTGGCTTGTAATATAGTATAAATTAATGCAGCATTTGACAAGGGGTTTCTCGTTTCTACTGTCTGGAGAAGCAAAGCCTTCTTGCTATGAATGGATTAAAATAGCTGCCTTTTATTGTATGTTTTCTAAATACTGAGAGTCAATTTTCTTTGTCATTTTTATTTTCCTGTAATTTATAAAATATTGCCCAATTTTAGTACAACCTTTTGCTTTTCCCTTTCAACTTTTTTTCACTTCAAATAGTATTGCTACTTTTTTCCTTGCTTCTTTCTTGCAAGAGATGGTGATGTGTCTTTCCCTGTGGTTCCAGTATTTCTTGCTGTCTCCTATCTCTACTTCAACATCTCTTTTCATCCTCTTTCCTACTCACTATACGTTTTCTCTCTTCCCATTTCTCCTGGTTTAGTCTGCTCTATACTGTCCCTCTCCAATGTATACCCATGCACCTGCACGTCCTGTTCCACCCATCTGGAGTGCCCAGGCAATGGAAACATTTACCAGGACACCAAGAGATAGATAGATAGATAGATAGATAGATAGATAGATAGATAGATAGATAGATAGATAGATAGATAGATAGATAGATAGATAGATAATCAGAGAAAAAAACGAAGGACAAGCAGCATTCCTTGGGTACCACTCAAGTGAGAAGCTGTCCCTACCTAATAGGTGATTTTCCTGACACTGCTTAAAGGATGAAGGATTTTTAGCCCCTAGTTAGGGAATGTCTGATAAATGTGAACTTTATGAGTTCTTCTTGACTCCTGGAAGGAAAGAAAAGTCCCTTTCTCTCTGTTCTCAGCACCCCTACTTCTTAGAAGCTGGAAAGATGCTTGTTTTATCCTCTCTCCTGCCTTCCCATTTGGAGTTCACATTTCCCAGTGAATGCTTCTACTGGGTTAAAACTTCCTCAGGTTGGAAAGTGCACCTGATTCTTATAATTCGATCGATGTCCACAGAGGTTGCCGTAACAGTGAAAGCTACAGGGAGAAACCACGGGCCAGGAGCTTCACAAAGAATTGTGCAGGGAGGAGAAGTGAGGCTCTCTGTGCATACAGATACAAAGGCAATACTCTTTGGAGTTAATGTGTGTAAAGACATTTACGCAACCATGAAGACTAGAGCTTTCTAACTGCTAGTTTTTAACAGAAATATACGTTCTACAGTATTTAGTAATGCAAGCAGATGATGCCCACTTTGTGTGGCTTTTTCCAAGCTGTTAACCAGTGTAGACAATAACATTCTTTTGGCAAAATGTCTTTAGAAATGACTCTTCCCTCAGGAATTTAAATGGAAAGTCTAGCTGCCCTTTGCATCACTGTTTTTGTAAGAGTAGGCTGTAAACATGTACAACCAGAATTTGCCTCAGAGCCAATTTAATCCAATTGTGAACTTGTTTAAATGAAGTGTTTTTCAGACATTTGTAGTTAATCAGACTATGCTGTGAAAGCATTAGTATCTAGACAGAGTGTTTACTACTTGACAAAGGAAACACTTTTTGTAAATGCAAGAGTCTTGGCAAGATTTTGGGATTATATCACTGGAATGTGAGACATGCTTCCCACTAGCCATATGTTGCAACAGTCCAGACTATTTCGTTCTGTAAATCTATTAATGTAATGGTACAAATCGGAGTTTTCAGAGCTGTGATGGTGATTTCATTCTTTGCCCTCTCTACTTTGTCCCCATCTGCCTGCCTGCCTTTCCGTGCTTGCCTGAGCTGTCTCTTTGCCTGTACAGAAGGGGATTACTTCTCCTCTTCGTGTGAATTCTAGTTAACATGGAGGGGATTTAGATCTCCTTGAGCTTGTGGTGTTGCCCATAATGAAACTGAATGTTTTCCAACATTACTGAAAAATATGTTTGTTAAAAATGGGACAAATATAGGAAGGAACACAATGAACTGTTCAATATATTTTTTGTAACAAAATTAGGGAAGATTGTGGGATCTTGTTTTGAAAAAGAAAAAATAGCTTTTTCATTTGGATTCCATTGCAACTTGATATGTGAGGCTCATAAGGAAAATCCTAAATTGCAGTTCCTCAGCTGAACTCAGTCTGAACTGTTCAACTCCTTCATTTCATTAGCAAAGCTCAGAGCTTCTGACTTAAAATGATGATGTGTGGTTCATCTTAAGCTCTTGTGATAAAAGCAAGATAAAAATATTGCTGGAGCCTTAGCTAGATGTCTTAATGCATTTAGTGAGCTGAGGGTTGGGACCAGCATTTGCAAAGAAGTGGAGAGATAAACAGGATTTGATATGCACAGTATATTTCTGTCTCCGGCATATTGCGCTAAAGGAATTTGAATTTTCTGTTGAATATTTCTTCTTTGCTGACTATATAGTAGGATCTAGTTCAAGTGGAGGACACGATTAGTTCTTTTGTTTATTTGGATTATGTAAAAAGTAGCAAAGATTACTTTTTAGCTGAATTAAATAAGCTTTATCTAGTATGTAGACATTATTTTCTTATGATTGTGAGTTTCAGTGGAGCAAGAGAGTACACACCCCTGCTAATCCGACCGATAGTACCAACATCTGTCTGTATGCCTCATACAGTTGCTCATGTACTTGAAGATTTCAATGGAATTTGGTTTATTAGATTTATCTCAGTGTAAGAAGAATGTAGGGACCTTTTTTTCAGACTTAACATGCACTCATGATCTGAAGGTAGAAAATAGTGATCATAACAATTTGACTGCAGTTCTGCTGCTAGAATAAATGCTATATTCATGTGTTGGTATCTCTTCAAGTGGAACTTCTGAATCTCTAATTGCAGTCTGCGTGCTTTGGATGGTTAAGAAGTTATGGAACATTTAGCTATTATGAACTTAATTTATTCTGTAAAGGTTCTTTGTTAATCATTCATAGAACCAAGTTTAAAACTAGGCAAGAGTGTGTGCAGCTCAGTCTTTATTACATAAAACCTCATAAATATGATATGTACAGCCAGATCCCTTTGATTTGAATGTTGATGTCTGTGTAACAGGTTGATTAGAAAGTGACTTATTCAGAGGTTAAGGCATTTATTTACGAATTTCTCTCTCCATTGACTTTAGAATTTTGTTATTATTCTTAAAATGAAATGAAGAGCAGCTTGTTTGGTTGATTGAATCTCTGTGCTAAGCATGGCAGTTTGTTTTGTTCAAGCCTAAATATACGCTGGGGAGCAATAAAGACAGTAAATGCTCTTGAGCCTGCTTCAGATTTAATTCCAAATAAGAATAAAATGCAAATTGCAAAATTAATTTTTCACACAAGTCCCAAAAGCATCGCTCATCTCCCTCCACTTTGCCCAACTGAAAATTTTTATGAATCCAGAAATGCAATAAAACTCATAGTCTATGACTTCATTATCTCATTTCTCATCTTCACATCTTGCTGCACCAGCTGACGTCTCATCTCTAGCCCATAGATTGATAGCAGAGCTCATTAGCCGACCAGACTCTAGCATTGGTATGCTGATTAGCAAACCTCAAAGATCATATTTATTTTGGCTGACAGAATGGTTGCTGGCTTGAACTTTTCAGGTCTTTCTACAAATCTAAAAATTTTTTCCCAGAAAACTGTGTATACACACATGTGTGGGTGTGTCTGCACACATAAGGACATTTTTGTAACACCAGATAGGTGGATGATTTGTTTTTACAAGCATGGCCAGACACAACGTGGTGAGGGCAGCAGTATAGTGGCAGTACCTTAAGTTTTTAGTCTTAGTAGTGACAAAAATACACAAAGTGCCATCTTCATTATGGACAACTCTTTCTAATCCATCACTAGTACTGGCACATTAAAAAGATACTCTTCTTTCTGAGCAGCCATAAGTTGATATTTTGACAGAGCTGTTCCCCAGTTAAAATCATCTTTATCTCCAGATTTTGGAGAAATTGAACTATGATCTGGCAGAAGTAGAAGTTGTGATGTCTAATGAGTGTTTATTTTTGCTTTTAAAAAAATAACTTTACTTAAATAAATTCTATTTGTAGATAAATGGTTGAAGCAAAATTCCACATTCAGGCATTGTAAGTTCTATTCGAAGAGCCGTTGGTGGCCAGGCCTTAGTTCAGGTTTTGAATTTAGTTCCTGTTTGCTCTGCTGGCATTGGCATTGCAGGTAAATGCCTTAGTCTGGCCGGATGTTCTGCTTCACTTGAAGAATCCTTCTTGACTGAGAAGCCGTATTCGTTACCCTGTTCAGCTTCCATTACCTGCAAAAGATGAGCATGGTGATGGTTACTAAGTAGATTACAAGTTAAACAATGAAGTTCTTGATACTGTCACAGCATAAAGGCTGCAGTCTTCTATTTCAACTTGCAAAAAAGCTGCACCAGAAACCCACACAGCTCTAACTGTAAATCAGTAAGCTTTCTATTAATACTCAGTTTAATCCTCTAGAGCCAAAAAACAGGCTCTAGATGCCTATAGGTTTATAACACATGGGTAGTTGGCCATGCTGAACCTGGTATTGCCCTCTATTTCTCATTTCCTCTCCGTTTAATCTTCCGTGAGGTCTCTCTGAAACTAATGCACATGAAATAAAACAGCTGTCCTTATCCACTTTCTTATCAGCACTTTTAGTCTGTCTTTTTCATCTAAGATAGTGAATTAAATATGAGATCTGATTTGACACAGAACAAGAGAAAAACACCAAGAGACTTTTCCTTTTAGAAACAATATTTTTTAGGCTGGAGAACTTTGAAATATGAATGTGCTTTAGTATAAAAGCTGAGTGGCTGTTTTAGTAAGTGTAGCACAGATTCCCATTCTATAAGTGCAAAAGAGAAAGGTTAACCTATATGTGTTTGATTGAACATGACATCTTTTTCCTGTTTTTTCCTGTTCAAGGGCTGGTTTTGGGGTAGTCACTGTCCCATCTGCAGTAACTGGCTGTGGTGTTCACCAAGACTGAAAGCGTAGCCTTTCTGGAAGTTTTGTTGTGAATGACACAGCTCTCTACTGTCAGACTTCAGAGAGCAATTTGGTCACTAGTCATTAGTGCATCTAAAGCAAGGTATGAGGGGTTTCTTTCTCCACGACATACAGGTTTAGGTATGGTAAATAGGTTGAAAACTCTTCTTAGGCTGAGTGTGCATCTATACGTCTGCCTGTCTGTCTACCTCTCTCTCTTTTTCTCTACTTTTTCAAATAAGGAAGTGGAAAGGGAAGGGAGGATGTTCCCATGGATCCTTAGGGTTTGTAATAGCTGTGGGGGAGGTATACATACAAGGGGCACCCAGGAGGGGTGACTAGAGGCTGTGGAATGCTCTGAGGCAGCAAGCTCCCTTGCTGCCCTGTCCAAGCACTGGCCTCTGACTGGGACAAATCTCTCCTGTTCGAATGAAGGACGTTGCTTTGTATGGAAAAAATTGCTTGTTAGTAGAGTGCTGCGCCACTCTTGGGGTGACAGAGAGGTTTGCGATACATCTGCTGTCACCTGGAAGCTCCCTGAGCAAAAGCTGAGGGTATTGCTTGCTGTGTAATGTGAGGAAATAAATTAAGGAAACAATCACTCGATAGTGTTAGTGCTGTGACATTTTAAAAATATATTCAGCTGTTCCTCTAAAATATTAACAGTCATGAATAATGCAAACCGAGGATGTTTAAAATTCAAGAACAAACACAACTTTATGTTCTACCAATTAGGTTTCAATTACATTCCAGTGTTATTCTCACTCTTGGAAAAAAAAAGGCATAAATTATGACTTTCTGCATTTAGTGACATGATCTACATTACTTGTTCTTGTCTGAGCATGGGAAATAAGATGTTTACAGTAAATACATTTTTACTGTCAAGGGAAAGAATGTTAAACCATTCTTGTATTAAAAAACATCTTGGATAGGTCACTAATGCTAAAGGCAGTTGTGGTGAGCAGGAATTGTTTAATTTTCAGTTTGGTGCTGGCATTGACTTAGATGGTGGAGTTATGTGAGGATGGGTTTAAATAGATGGTCCAAGGCTTACTTATGACAATGATACTGAAAAGCCCACTTGTGTATGGAGTCGCAGACCTTTTCTACATAAATACGATGACTGCATATGGATATCTGATAAACAAATTCAAACATATTGCCATATATGTACACTTGATTTCTTTCCTGTAAACTGTCCTGTAATCTCTGCAAGAGAATGAGGATGCTAAATGCTTACTCTCTTGACCTCAGTATTGTATTTTAATTTAAAAGATATTTTGTAAAATACTTCAAAGCGAAGAATTTCAAGACAGAAAATTTTAGTGATAATTTGTAGCTTGGGATATTTGGATGGTGTTAGTCCCTTTTATTTTTTCTTTTCACTTTATTGTGTTTTTAGTGTTGCGATCTTGGATACCATGCTAGTCTGAACAGAGCCCTAAGAACCTACCTTTCTGCAGAGTATAACCTTGAAACTTCCAGGCATGAGGGCTTAGACATCATTGAAAATGCAGTTGACAGCTTGGAGCCACGAAGTGACAAGCAGAGATTCATGGAGATGTACCCCACTGCTTTTTGTCCACCAATGAAATTTGAGTTCCAGTCTCATATGGGTGATGAGGTCTGTATATTCACAAGTATTCCTAGGTCATCTGTTTTTATATACCGAGACAGAGAATTTATCCCCTTTTAGTAAGAATTTTATTGCTGCCCAAAAGCAAGTGGATCAGCAATAACATTTTGCAAAACTGGCAACTCTGTTCTCAGTTTCTTCAGAATTCTCAAGTGAAAACCATTGTATGTTATTATAAAGACATTGCTGTGATTTTGCTGGCCAGCCCAGCACTGGTGTAAGTAGCAGCTTTATGTCTGCCTGCCTGCCTCACCCGTAACAGAGCTTGTCGGTGCTATTTGAGAGCAGCTGCAGAGCTGCTCCAAATTACACATGCTGAAATGCAGCTTTTACCCCTTCTTCCTCCCCCATTTTGTTGTCAGGGTGTTTTGAGCACAGAGAGTACGCCGGCTGTGCCCTGCCCTGCTACACCAAAGGCCATTAACAAAGCAGAATGCAGAATCACCCACGTACATCTTTTATCTGAGATTAAGTCCAGGGCTTGTGCTTCTATGTGGTAGAGAAGCAACACAAAGCAGCCGTACAACAAGGCTGTGCCCAGTAGTCATAAGATGAGATACATAGTTCCACACCTTGTGCCACGTAAATACTTTAAATTTAGGTGGGACACGTTTTATTGTCTGGTTTATTAGGTTTTAATAGCTTTGGTAGGAATTCACCTAGTTTTTAAGGACAATCAAAGACTATTGACTGCTTTATTAATTCCTTGTGTCTTACAGCTCTTTTTGGTTCTTTGTTAGGTTTGTCAGGTCACTGCCCAGCAACCTGTGCAAGCTGAGCTTATGCTTAGGTATCAACAGCTACAGTCCCGATTGGCCACGCTCAAAATCGAAAATGAGGAGGTAAGATCTGTATCTACAAGGGCTATGTGTTGAACACCATTTTCAGGAAGGTGCAGTGTTTTCTACCTCATCAAAAGCATGTAAATGACTCTCAAATGGCTTCAACCTGTATGAACTGTTTCAATTTGTAAAATAAAATACTGGTAAATATGCTAAGGTAGGTCCTTGTCTGCTTCATAGAGGTTTAGAAACTTCGTCTTTTACCTGTCCATATATTCACATTACTGAGGAGTTCTGTGTTTTGCGGATGCTTCAGTGTAAACTTGTTAGAGCACGTATTTTTAAAGTCTTGTGGCAGAAAGCCACTGAGCACAATTATTGTCTTCTGTGACCACCCTCTGTCGAGTCCCCAAACTGTTGTTTCAGTAGTACAAAGGAATTGGACTGTTTTTTGTGGCAGCTTAGTCAAAGTCTCTTATGCTCTCAGCTACAGCTATTTATAAACACAAGTACTGAATGCCTGTGATGGGAACAGCTCACCTAGTAAAATAAAATACATTTTTTCGTAAAATACAGAAGACCTATACTGTTCTCTTTTCTCTGTTCTGGCAGCAGAGTGAGGTCTCCCAATGGGTATAAATTGCACTTTTATCTCATTTAAGGCGGTGTTAAAGGTCCTCAGTTTAAATGAGAATCTGTTCCTAAATTAAAACATAGGGATAATTTAATTTCTTGGTGTATTTTACTGATAGATTTTCAGAATTCCAGTTTTTCACATTCCGTGTTATGTACTGAACACCTGGAACGAACTATTCATGTCCACAAGACATGTCAGTAGTCCTTTAAAGTAATACTTCAATTCAGAAAGTATCTCAAGGTAACAGAGACGAAAGGAAAGAGAATGATTATTTGTTTCAGTGAAGTGAAGTGCAGGTGCATAGGGGAAGGATTCATGTTGGCAGACACAGAAAGGATGTTTGCCTGCACTAGAGATGTGTGTAGAAGTGTGCATCATCTGGTGACATTTCACTCTTCTAGAGACTCTTTTGAAGCAGAACTGGCAGGTAAACCTCATCCTTGTGAATCTTACCAGTTACCTTATTGCATTGTGGAAACACTGCATCCCTTATTCCATGGCCTCCATGCCCTGGTTTCCACTACAAGCAACGGTACTCTGTGTAGCTCGTAGGATATGCTGTGAGACTGCTGTAAATTGTTCCTTCTCCAGCCCCCTCCTCCAGCTTCTGCACTCTAAACATCACTGTGCTCCTCACCATAGCACTCCACTGTCACAGATTTTTATCCTGGAAGAACATGTTGTTCTGGCAGCCGGGTCCTTGAATAAACACATCCAACGTTGACCAACCACACTTTGGAGAGCTGACCTTGCAGAGCAGCACGTCAGCTGTGTTGCCACCTGCGTTAGGGTAATCAAATCATGTCACATTTCAATTCTAATTTCAGGAAACAAATGCTTGAGAGTGCTATGCAGTCAACACAAGAGTACATCCGTGTTTGTGGATTGGACCATGGTAAAGCAGAGAACTAGACAGGAAACTTAATCATGCCATTCTTCTGTTACATAGGTATCTGTTATAGGACATCTAAGTTTTCATTTGTTTGTAGGAGTGTGCCAGGGTATTATTTTGAGTAATGAGCTTCCCTTCTAAGCCATTCTGATATATATTTCTCTTGCATTTGGCAAATTGTGCATTTTAACCACCAGGTTAAGAAAACAACAGAGGCTACCCTGCAGACAATACAAGATATGGTCACCATCGAAGATTATGATGTGTCAGAGTGTTTCCAGCACAGTCGCTCCACGGAGTCTGTGAAGTCGACAGTCTCTGAGACGTACCTGAGTAAGCCCAGCATTGCGAAAAGTAGGAAACGGAGCAATTCTATTTCATGGTAGGTTGGTTGCTTCCTCATTCATGTGATACTGACCAAACACCTGAAGTAAACATTATGCAGAGCTTCCTGGAATTTATGTGCCATGCATAGTAATAGATTGATCTGCATCTCTACAGAAATTCAGAGAATATCTGGAAGGCAGTAATCTCATCACAAAACTCCAAGCAAAACATGACTTGCTGCAGAGGACACTCGGAGAAGGTAAATATCACATAATAAACTGGAAAGTGATTCCAGACTATGCAGTGAACCCACTGAAATGCCAAAGGTATGCAGGAAAAAATTACAGAACTTAAAGATTAATTGTCCAGTAAGCATAGATTTGATTTTACCAGTCATAGTTTTGGTGCAGTGGCAAGGGTACGCACTATATATTGCTATTTTGTCTTCAACAGATACTTATTTCTGTTGCACAGACATTTAGAGAAGTGACTATATTTGGAAATGAAACTGTTGAATGAAAAATCTCATGTCTGAAAGGAGAGCTGACACAGTCAGTGGAGGGTCATTTAAGAGCTATGACAAATGCACTGTTTCTGCTTCCTAACAGTTTATGTTGACTTGAGGTTTCTTTAAGAGTTGTGGGAGAGTGATATTTTTTTAAGGACACAAAATTATTCTCGATGCATTACTTACAATCGACTCACTAGTGCAATATTTCTGACACATGGACATAAATGTCCCTCTTGCAGCTTAACCAGTGAGTGGAGCATTTGTGAAAGGTGAAATCCTGACCTAACTAGTGTTAGTAGTGAGACTCTTATAGACTTAATTTAACATTGGGTTTCTACAGTGTATTTGCGTACTGTGAACTGGAACAAATGAAAATTCAAATAATAGCTCTATACATGTTGATCATCATTATTACATATAAAATTATTGCATTTAAAAAAAACACAACAACCTATTGCACTACAAATTATGATGGCAGAGAATTATCCATTGTTCCAGACACTACACAATTTAAAAAATAGAACAAATTATAAACTAAGTTAGCAGATGTCCATGACCAAGTCAAGTAAAGCTGAATTGGGGCACTAATGAATCAGACATTATGCACTGTTCCTCCTACCAGCCCTCCCGAACAGGCACTTCCTCATGGACCAAGGGAAAAGGAGAATCACAGAGCAAGCCCTGGGGACGACCCACACAATGTTGCAGACTTCAGAGGAAGGGAATTACACCACAAAGACTAAAAATCCTCTCCTGAAGGTTAAAGACTATAACTCAAAGTTCAGACTCGAGAAAGAAAACTTGTTCTCTAAAGAATGTCTCTGAGGAATATGTCAATTTATTTTCTTTTTGCTGCCAAAAAATCTGTTATTAATTAGATCTCTTCTTGTTTTTAATATAGAAGCTCAGATCCACAAATCAGTTGTGGAGGCACCTAAAGAGCTATTAACATTTCAATTAACATTTCAGTAGCTATGACCCAAACGAGGCTCCAGTCCAGGGATTGACTGAGGTTGTTGGGTAGGAAATAATCAGCATTTTCTTGTAAGGCTGGACTGTAGAAGATGGTAGCTGATTTTAGACAACTAACTACATTATGTTCTTTCTCATGGAAGTGTTCATTTAATAGGATATATTTTTGAATGTGTGCATTGAGCAAGTTATTCATGTAAAACAATGTACAGCTGATGGTAGTCAAAAAAGAGGAAGAATTTCCTCCAGAGGTTCCCTGGGAAAAATGTGTTTGGAAAAATAAAGTGCCTAATGGACAGTAAGTTGTCCATGGAACAGCAATGTGCCCGTGTGACCAAGGGGGCCAATGACATCCTGGGGTGCATTAAGAAAAGTGTGTCCAGAAGGTCTGGGGAGATTCTCCTCCCCCTCTGCTCTGCCCTGGTGAGACCACACCTGGAATACTGTGTCCAGCTTTCGGCTCCCCAATTCAAGAGAAACAGGGACCTACTGGAGAGAGTCCAATGGAGAGCTACGAGGATGATCAAGGGACTTGAACATCTCTCCTATGAAGAGAGACTGAGAGAACTGGGGCTGGTTAGTCTTGAAAGGAGACAGCTGAGAGGGGATCTTACTAATGTTTATAAATATCTGAGAGGTGGGTGCCAAGAGGAAAGGGACAGTCTCTTCTCAGTGGTGCCCAGCAATAGAACAAGAAATAATGGGTTTAAGTTAGAACACAGGAAGTTGCACCTCAACATGAGGAGAAACTTCTTTACTGTGAGGGTGACAGAGCACTGGCACAGGCTGCCCAGAGAGGCTGTGGAGTCTCCTCTGGAGACTTTCAAAACCCGCACAATCGTATACCGAAGGGAGAGAGATAAAAGACAGCAGAATCCATTGCTTAATGCATGTTGACAAGAAATAAGGAAAGAACTGCTTGAAAGGAAATCCAAAAGAAAAACTCCTCAGTGAGGTGGCCTAAGTGATAAATTGCCATCAGGCTCTGGCCGTTCTGTCATGCTCAGGCATGCTTGGGCCGTTCTGTTTGAAGAGTTCCCTTTGCCCCACCCCACTAGCTGTAGCCCCGGGTAGTTAATCCATGTTGCCCACAGTGTCTTTGCACATGACTGTTGCACCATCATCTGAGTTGCCTGTACAAATTACACCTGTACAAATAGTACCCCTGAATGTATGCACCCACATTCAAAGCTGATACTTGGAGAAAAAGCCATCATTCTTACAGGTTAAAAGTACCCCCTTCTATTGAGGCACGTCTTGCATCACAATACACGTACCTGGGCAGGAGGACCTGGATTCTCTACATTTCTCTAGTGGAGGTGGTTGAAAGGGTAGAATTACAATGGAATTAAGAATGTTATTGTAGTAGCTAATGTAGAAAGGAATTTGTAAGAAGTGAACTGCTCCCCTACTCCACTCAAGCTGCCTTTTCTGCCAGCTTTAATGTCAGCAGCACAGCAGACAAATAATACAAGGTGCTATATTAATGCAGAGGAGAGCAGGGGAAGAGGGAGAGGATTGTCTCAACTGCAAGTTTTCCTTTGGCACTCTTTCTTGCTTTTGTTTGATTTTGTACAGTATAAGCATGTAGGCTGAATAAATCCAGATTCCAGTCTGGCGTCCACAACATCAACAGCGTTTGGCTTCTGTTCCAGTTCATCACCTGCCTACTACAGCCAGTTGCTGTTCGTGAACACAGCAGATACATATTCATGATCTGCACAAGGGAGATAGATGAAGTGCTCTGTGCTGAGTCTGCATCTACACATTTGGAAAAGTAAATGAGAACTACCCAAATGAAACTGATACTAAACATGGGAAGCACGCTGATACTCATATTAATTCTGCCCAAGGCTCATCTATTTAATGAACAAATGAACAAAGCAAAGGGAAATGCAGGAAAGAGAATAATAAGCAGATGTAAAAGAAATTGCCCCTGTGTCCCAGATAGTTTTTGCCTTAATCTCTTAAATATCACAGATGTGTTTAAAATCCCCCAGACTGGGGATTTGTAACGTCTTTCATTTTACTAGCATTTATTATGGGGATACTTAGTCTCAGTGAACTTTCCTTGGTTACATGAGTAGGGACAGGTCCCTGGCATAGCCTTTTTCTGTCATACGTTATTTTGCATACCCTTCTTTCATCCCTGTTTTCACCTCTCCAAATTATATGCCAACAATCTTTGTATGATTTATTAATGCTAGAGATTTTTGCCAGATATTATTCTTTGGGCCACCTTCTGTGGCTCCCCATTCTTCTGGTACTGCAAAATACATTTTCAGATTAGGGTTTTCAATACTGTGCAGTATTTCAGGTGTACCTGGACATTGCTATGTAATGTTATGTTTTGCATATCGCTGTTCTTAATTATTTCTGCACTCTGACAGGCATTTTGGTGTCACTTTTGAATTGGGTGGTGTGCTTAGACCCAGCCCAAATGATGCTCAAAGTGATTTTCAGAATCACTATAATTATCTGTCATTCTGTTAGCTACCTATGTGTTTAGTTCTTTCTTCCCTGATGTCTGACTTGAACCTATGGATACTGAATTTCATTTGCCATAGTGTGTCTTGTTCCTTAACATAATTAAACCCCTCCAAAGAACTTCAGAGTTTTGTCAGAACTTAATATAAAAATATTTCAGTCATCTGCACAATATTCTGCCTCCTCAACTGCTGTGATCTCCCCAAGACATTAATAAATGTTGTATGTATTACGTGAATGGTCCTAATGGGAAGGCTTGAGTAAATGACTGTTACACTTTTGTCATGATGAAAAAAGACCATTTAATTCCACTCGGTTTCCCTTTTCTTCACTAGCGTTTGATTAGTAAGAATATTTTGCTACTCAGTCCATGGCTCTTTAGTTACTTCAGTTGCCTCTTGTGAAGAAACTTATCAGTGGCCTTTTAAAGTCTAAGTAAACCAATTCAGCTGATTCTCCTTTATCCAGTATTTTACTGACATTTTCAAAGAAGTCTAATAAATTAACAGAGCACAATCTCCCTTTGAGAAAACCAGGCTGATTGGAACTTACCATATCATGACCTTCCTACTGTTTCATTATTTTGCTTTTCATTATCATGAGTTGACACCATGTACATGCCTAACTTGCTGGTCTGCTGTTCTGCAAAGGTTATCCAGGAGCCTTTCTGGAACACAGTATTTACTTCTTTACAATTCTCCGCAGTTCTCTGGGGTGTGTCCCAGTCGTAGCACTGTGGGGTTTTTTTCCTGCAATACACAGGCAAAAGAGAGAAAGGAGTCTTTCAATAGCAAGTCATCAGTGTCTAGAGCTCTGTGTTTTCAGCACTGAACAGGTTGAGGCACAAGGCACAAGGGGAAATGTAATCTAATCATGGCACAGCTCTGTTTCCATACTGATTTAGCCACTAAAACACATGAGCACAAACAATAGACATTGTTTGGAGTTTTACTTCAAATTATTTACCGTATCAAGTGACTCTTTAATCTGTGGGCAGGCTTCTTAAAGATTGTTCCATAACATGGGTTGTGTTTGTATTTTAAATATAACTGTGGAGATGGCAGATAACTGCACTGCCCTGATTTTTGTATAATTATATATCTTTTGCTGGTAACATGAATGTTTGGCTTAAAAGTAATTTGCCAAACTTATAAAACATACAAAAAAATCTACCCAAAATCTACAAATGATTGTTTCCTGTTTATTGAACTTTTCCAGGTCACAGGGCTGAATACATGACAACAAGGTAAGATCTTTTTATTTGATTTGAATTACATGTGTAATAAAATCTTTGAAATTACAGATTTTAGAACAAGTTTGTAAGGTTATAGAATGTTGTTATTTCTGTTGTTACATTAATTGTATACAGGTCCTGTGTGTTATAACATCCAGCATTTATGTTTCTGCATGCTGGTGGGTAAAGGACTGGACTGTTCATCCTCATTCTTCTGAGCTGCTTAGGCCAGTGTTAAGGGTAGGACAAACTGAGAGATCCTTCGAAATATTTGTGAATCACACATCAGATTTGGAAGTTGCAAGGGGTTTTTTAGTGCTAGAAAAGAAATAATTTTCAGTCACTAGAGATAACTTGCCTCTAGTGGTTTGTAATTCACTCATTCAGGATACACAGTTCAGAAGAACCTGATACAAAGATGAATTTAGGGGATAGGCTGCATCTTGATTAATCTGACTCTGGACAGGAGTACCTGCCTTCCCCAGTATCCGTGTGTTTGATACCTAAAGGGATCTATGCATTCACAGGAGGGAAGGGATGCAGTGTTCGATCTCCCTGCTTTATGCACATAATTTTTCACTTGTGCGGTGTCACAACTGCAAAGCTGCCTCCAGACATAAATATGGACAAGCACTGCAGCCCCCAGGGTATCAGACCGGGGGGGGGGGAGCAATGACAACTATTTGGATTTGTAACTACTACCCTTCCAGTCCTGGTGAGAGCAGAAACATCCAGCTCAGCTTTCCTGGTCTCAGTCTCTCCATCCCTTTCCATGCAATACTTCTTTGCTCAATCCCTTCTCTTTCTCCTTTTTTACTTCCTGGACAGGAATGGCCTTGCCACCATGCCTTATCTTTTATTTTTTTAAAAAACAAAACAAAACAAAAAAGTAAATAAGTAAAAAATAGTTTTGCCCTCTCAGCTAGGGAGTTTTGATCTGCTCTGGCTCTACATTTCCTGGTTTCATATAACTTCTTCTGCCTGATCTTTATAGACCTCTCCAGAGACTTCAGACCAGCCTTTCTCCCACCGCTCCATGATCTGTTTTAGTTCTGTAAAGTTGGACTTATTCACCTTGTGTCCTTACATAGAATCATAGAATGACCTAGGCTGGAAGGGACCTTAGAGATCATTTAATCCAACCTCCCTGCCATGGGCAGGAAAAGGAGTAAGAAATCAGAGCACTCTTCCCAATTGCTGACATTAATTCTGAGCCCTGTGACTTTATTTCTCCCTGTAGATGCTACCAGGAACGTATGGAAGTCAGCAAGCCTATGTCTAATGAGAAAAATGTTCTTTCTTGACTCCAAAGCAGGTGACTCATCAGGCTCACATCATCCTAAATTCCCTGCTTTGTAAGCAGCTGGAAGAGGATGCTAGATTTAGGCAATGGTTTTATCTTAGTAAAGCGGAGGAGCAGCTTGAAGCCATCTTACTTCCTATCTTCTCACAGCTGATCACTTGCAGAAAGAAACTCTGAGGGTGCAGGGCCTTCCCACCCATTCCTCAGCCCCAGTTCCCCACCTCTGGCTGGGACCTGCCTGTTGCCCCAAGGTTCAGTTAAGTTTCCAGACTGTAAGACATGAAAGCATAACTGTTCTTCAAGGCCAAAGTTAAACTGCAAAAGGAAAGAGGATATCTTTAAAGATGTGTTTGAAATAGCAGGTAACACCCAAACAGACCGAAGTCCCACCAGTACATTTTCTATGCATTATTGTTCCTCACTGTTTCCCCCAAAACATACGATATTTCACTAATTCCTGAAAAACCTGTAGAAACATCAGACTGCTGGGGCAGGGGAACTAGCAAAGCTGTTGGCATATAGCATGCCCTGGCATTCACAAAATAAATTGGGACTTGGAGAACAATATTTATTTCCTGTAATCTTTTTCAGCTGTAGTCATCACATGTGTAGCACACTAGGTAAACATTTTGCAGACAAAAGTTTTGTGTATTCTTTTTTTTCTTTTGCATTATGCTGCTTTTGTTGATTTGTTTCAGGTTGATTACATTCTTTCAATACCTTTAGCTAAATTACAAAGTGTTTCTTTTCTTATGTGTTGATGGTTGAATGTGGAAAGCTAAAGCTGTTTAACCTTCCTGGCTCTACTTGGAAATGAAGACAGTTTGGTTTTGAAGCATCTTAGGAGTGTGCTGAGCAGCTTTAATTTGCATTTCAAGTTTCTCCAGCGTGAAGCAACTTTTCTGCTTGATAAGTGGCACTTTGAATGGCCTGTGCTCTGCCGCGGCTGGCAGGATGAATTCCAGTGGTTGCTGCACATTTCATGCATGACCGCAACAAAAAAGGCCATTCCAATTGTGCAGTGTTTGAAATAGATGTAGATGGTAAAACTGCAAAGCAGCAATTCTTAAAGAACATCAATGTTTATCCACAATTAATGCATTGGGGGGGGGGGAAGTTCATCACTCTTTAATCACTGTTACATTTCAATTCTATAGAAAATCTCTATTTGATAAGTACTGCGGTTTTTTCTCCCTTTACAATGTTCTGTTGTTTTGCCATGAGCTTACAGACATTTTATTTTACTGTGTGACTTAATTCTGCCTTGCTCAGTAATCATATTCGCTTCCCTTAGGCCTCCAAATCTTCCCCCTAAGCCCCAGAAACACAGGAAGCCCAGACCCCGATCACAATATAGTGCTAAGTTGTTTAATGGTGATTTGGAGTCATTCGTCAAGGTACTGGTACCAGCCACCCCAGCTGGCTGATCTCAACACTTCTTACTATAATGGTCACCACCTCACATGAGCTGAGGCAGATCATTATGTTTAAGTCTGTCCTGGGGCTCTTTGCTTTCCCAGTTGATCAATATAATACTTCCTGAAGTCAGAGGGAAGGAAAGGGATTCATTTCTCACATCAGCCTCCCTACGATTTTGTTAATCAAGTAGGAATAGTATTGGCAGCTTGGTTTTATTAGGAAATTTAACATCATATCAAAGATAGGATGTGGTGGTGCATCCCACAACTTAGCACAATTTCCTGCTTACCATTTTCATTACCTTCAGTATTTAAAGTCAGTGGAGAAACAGTACTACCTTGGGTTTGATATCCAGCTTTTGATTTCCTGTGACTTTAGGAATTTATTATATTGTGTGAAATTATGATCACCGCTATTCTGGATCTTGTATCTGTGCTGTATTTACTATCTTCTTCTTTCTCATACTTTTATTTCTAATAATGCTTCTAGCCGAGGCCGAAGAAACTCTCACACGAGACATCAGGTATAGTTCTGGTGACAAGAGACCCATCTCCACCTCATTCTCGGGTTGCATTCATGCCTGGCTCAAAATTAGTTTTTTCAAAGGCCTGAAGGGAGAAGTTTGCATTAAGAAATGAGTGTGCAAGTACAGCAGACAAAACTGAACCAGAACACAGCTCTGGAGTGATTGTAGTCTTGAATGATGGATATTTCCTTATTCACTAACAAGCACCTCCCCACCACAGTTAATTAGTGCCTCTGGACACTAACTGACAGAGTTATGGGAAAGAAATCTCCTAGAAATATGTAACCGTATATTTATAAACACAGCTAATGAAATTCCTGACTGAAAGCTATGTGAAGTGGGTTTGAATGTTACAGGGGTTTTATTTTCTTCCCAGCAAATATTTTGCAGAACAAATTCTGTGCTCAGGGGCACCATACCAGTTTAGCTGTCTTTGAATCAAGCTTTCAACCACCCTCAGTACAACTACAGGGAAAACTATTATTATTATGTAGGTGATGCTGGGAGGTGCCAAGACTTTCAGGAATCATCACATGATGCAAGAGATGAGTATCACGAACAGTTTCTTGCTCGAGGATGAAAGTAAGCAAAGAAGTAGAAACACCCACAACAAAAAGCCCCTAGATTAGAGAAGTGCGGAGCAAATCAGGAGAAATCATACTCCGCCTTTTTTCCTCACAGAGAAGAGGGTTATGCTCCATGGCAGTGTGGGTAACAGGGCTTACTTGCAAGTGGAGAGGCCTCCCTAGTTAGTCTCTCAAAAGGGAAGAGGAAAATAAGGGTGGCAGCCTTTTGACAGATTTGTCAGTGTGGGAGCTAACCTAGGAAAACATCCCTGCGCAAAGACCAAGTCATTCCTGATAGGGATGAATCATTTTGACAGGCACAAAAGGATTACAGCTAGTGAAATACTGTATCACGCCAAATTGCTTTTTGTTACATTTTTTCATCATAAGAAATGGTAATTAGCCCCAAACTTACCTTCACTGACTACACAAATCTGATCGAATTAACAGAAGCAGTAGGGTCACTGTTCTTGAGATTTCACCAACATAGATTGTTACTTTAAATTATTTTCCTGTCATTAGATCCAAAATCCAAACCTATTAGTTTAGATTATTTCAGGGAATTACTTAACTACAAAGTTGTGCATGGTTCTGAACAGATTCTTCAAAACCAGGTATGAAAGTAATTTATATTTTTTGTAATTTCTTACTGCAAACACTGTCTTTTCTGAGGCTTTACATTCTTTGCATGAACCAGTGTACTAACAGGAGAGATGGGTGCATGTTGTGCATGTTTTCTAATACTTTGCCTTTTTGGAGAGCCAGGCTACTCAGTGCTGGTGAAGATGACAGTACTCCTGGATTTAGCAACTGACCTGTTCCATGAGGGTTTTTTTTATTCAGCTGTTACTGAACCGTGACACAACTCAACAGAGAATGCTCATCCAGACTTTATGGGTTCTTGGCTAGCCAGTCTTTGCTAGATTTTAAATTAAAAGGCAAAGAACTCACAGTTTAAATAGCATAATTAGCAGTACAGTTGTTTGTAAGCCCCACTAAAACAACATGGAATACAGAGAAGATCAAGGATTAGGTTATCTCAGGAAGGCCATTGTTTCATTGCTTCACTGTGTGTCATTTTTCAAACTTTATTTAGGAGTTGACTCTTCTACTTGGGCTTAATTCATGAACATTCCATTAGCATAGTTTAGCATGAAAATGAAGGACTGATTTGTAAGAGGAAATGTGTACTCCAGGTTACAGGGTCCTTTTGAATCCATGTCTTTGTAATACAGACTGGTTTTATATTAAACTTTCAAATGAATTAGTCCATTCTCTGAGTACATACATATTTGAAATTCATTTGGAAAGAAAAATTATAGCTTCCAAGACAAGAATTTCAAAGGTACCTATTATTTATGAAACAGTAATTTTTCCAGCATAAGCACCAACTTTTCTAAATAATTTTTAATCATATGATTTATGTCTTCAGTAGATATTTGATGACCTGCAGTCAGTAATGTACTTGAGGTAAAAACATCCCTTTTTTTAAGTTCCAAAACACACAGACGAAGGATTGTGACAGTTCTTTTGAAAAGTCGGCAGTTTAAAAGAAAAAGACAAATTACTCATTGAAAATTAGTGTATAGTCATCTTTTCCCTCCTCCATCACAAGCATTTTTTCCTCCTTTATTAATAATGCCTCAGCTGAAGATGTGGCTATAGATACGTGCTGCTGTATCATGGCTGAGACCAGGAGTTTTGATTCCTGAGCTCTGCCAGTCGCAGGTGGGGAAGTGGAGGCTGTGACCTCTGTTTCCCGAGACCATTGTAAAAGAAAACACCCCAGGGAATGAGGTGCTCTGTAATTAGGTCCGTGTAGGATTTTCTCCACTGGGAAAAGAAGGATAAATTAAATGGATGCAGAGGGATCATCTTCATAATGAATTATTAGTCTTATTAATAAACTTTTTAAAAAGCAAATTCACTGCTTTAACTCATTTTGCTTCAAAAATCTAAAACACATGCATGAGCTTAGATGTCACATACAGTGTTAACCAGATACAGTGGCAGAGGTAGAGAACGAACTCTCTGAATTTCCCAATTCAATGATTTTAATGAAGAGCTATAATCCTTCCTGTTCACCAGTTTCTTTCCTTGCCTCCCTAAATGGGAAGAGAACTCCATTAGAAACTGTATTTTTTTCTCATGTGTTTTTTGTCAGCACTGTATGTCCATCTGAATTGACCAAGAAAAGGCATTTTCACATTCAGTCCTGAGTAGGGAAATTTCCTCTTTCTGATGTGCGGTTCACTCTTTCTACTCTTGTTTTTCCAGGATTCAGGGCAAGTTATTCCTCTTATTGTGGAAAGCTGTATCAGATTTATCAATTTATATGGTAAGTTCTGAAACATACTATGTCATTTCATTATTGCCCTGGCTTTATTGTGCATCTTTTGCATAACGCATTCACCACCACAGCTTTGTTTTTAAAACAGAGATTAAAAGTGTTTCGAAAACTAGTTTCATTTCTCACCACTGTTTCCCAATCTTTGCTGCAGGTCTTCAGCATCAGGGAATTTTTAGAGTGTCTGGTTCCCAGGTGGAAGTCAATGATATTAAAAATTCGTTTGAGAGAGGTAATTGCATTTTCATTTATTTGAGCATCTGAATATCTGACATTTGGAAATCTTTTAAATTCTCATTTCTTTCTTGGTTGTTTAAACAGTTTGTATGTACTTTGTGTGCTGCATCCAAGACTTTGCACCATCATACGCTCAGGGATGAATGATGGCATGTCCATGTTTCTCCCCTGTTACCTCCTAGGAGCTTGAGCTTGTTTTTCATTTTGCTTAGATGAGGCATATGGCTCTTGAATCAATGCTAAACTTTAGTCTTTTTTGAGTGATAAGCCACAAATAAGAGTTTGTCTGTATTTTATTTTAAAGATTTACAGAGAGGAAAGATTATGGGGTTTAGTAAGAGTCTACTTAAGGCAATTTGAGAACCCTGTTACTTGATCTGGAATACGAGTGCTCAACTTTCTAGTCTCTCTGCCAAAGCGGCATCACAATCGATGAGAATACGAGCCGTGAATAGGTCATTCCATTTTTTCTGCATTCATTCCCAAAGGAAACTTCACCCTCAGAGGAGAAATTATGGGAAAGATACCAGGAAGCTTTTTAAACATGAGTGCTTGCAACACCCAGCCTAGGACTGCTTTGCAATCCTCTAATTGTCTTAAAACAGTACTAGTTACAATATTTCTTAAAACTTACATCCTCTTTTCTTGGCTTAGAAGCTATTTTTTTTAATTTCCAGAACAACATTTTGCAGATCATCTGCTAATGAGAAAACCATTGGAGCAAAAATTCTTGTGGCTAAAAGCGTGAAAAAATATGCACAGTATTTTTCTCCCCAGTATTAGTTATATATCTTGTTAAACCTGATCTTGTCTTTTACAAAATACATGAAGCAGTTGTTTTTACATGCTAAGTGAAGGCACATCCTTCTGTTCTCCAGATCTGCCTTATTGTAACTGCTCCTCCTATTTAGTGTTATTCTGGAAGATAAATACATTTTAAAGTGTTTCAAAATAAGGATTAAGTCTTTAAAATTACAGTAGTAGATGAGGTTTCAGTTAGACTTTCAGTTTTTATCCAGTGGGGGGTTCACAAAAAGGCTGCATATATTCCTGAATGTTTTAATTTTTCAAAATGAAGACAGATTTCCAGTTCAATGAATTATCTTACGCAAGTTGCTTAATGTGGGTTCCCACAGAGTAGTCTGAGAAACTCTATTCAGTTAAGAACATTTGGCTTTCTTCTTTTACTAACTGTGAATCACAACATGTCCATAAATACCTAGTTAGAAGTTCAGGACCTGAGAGATCACTAGGTTATGTAATTTAAAGGAAGCTTTATTTAGGCTGCTGGGTTTAGTTTAATCATAGCCTGGGATTTCTAAATCAGTGTTTATTATCTTACTTGAATGCTTGCATTGCCACCTCCCACACACTAAAACCAAAAACTCCCAGAATGTCACTCACTTGTAAAAATGTTGCATGGAAGAATGCTCCTGCATGTGTGTTTCATTCACTTTATTTACTTTTTAAGGTGAAAATCCTTTGGCAGATGACCAAAGTAACCATGACATTAACTCAGTCGCTGGAGTACTGAAGCTCTATTTCCGAGGGCTGGAAAATCCTGTCTTTCCTAAGGAAAGATTTAGTGATCTTATTTCTTGTATCAGTAAGTAGAAATCTCTGTTTCTTTCTCAGTAGAATTTTACTTTCATATATACAGTAGCAGAAAAAAAAAGTAGAAAAAAAAGTAGCAGAAAAAAAGCTAACCACAGATTTTTCTGAGACGATTTGTTTGCCATCTGTAACAGACTGGGTCAGTAATTAGTCATACTCGCAGCTGTGGTTGTTCCCTTTTTCCAGTGGGATTAAGGTACAGTACAACTCTTTGTTTAACAGGGCAGGAAGAATATCTTTTAGTATACAAGAGATAGTTAAATTTAAATTTTCCTCTGTGCACTGGGGCAGAGAGAAGGGGGTGAAGTCATGACTGTGCAAAGAGCGTGTTACTTTCCACAAAAGGTTTCCATGCCCCACAGCTTGGAGTCAGCACTGGTGAATAAGTAACTACCTTGTGTGGTTCTGGACCTTTATTGTGCTCAGCTTAAAATCCCTGATCCAACTGGCAAACCCTTTCATGCACAAATAGAGGGAAGCAGCTGAGTGCTGTCTGTGGAAGAGCTCGCTCTGCTTTCCAACCCACGAGCTGTAATGGGATGCCTTGGAGGAACGTAGCGTGGGTCTGTGCACTGCTGGTGTTCGTAGCCAGACACAGAGAGGTTGTAGTAATTTAGGAAGTTCTCAGTGAATGAGTGAATTGCTCTGGCATGCACAAAACCTCTTCCAGCTCCCAGATGCCTGCAGATGTTGAGGAGGGGTGAGGCCAAGCCAGCCATCAGTAGGCTTACTGTTCCCTGTGGGTCCATTAGAAGTTGTCAGATGAGTTCCTTCCTTTCAACCCTTCCTTTATAACTTCCCTGCTTCAGCCAAATAGAGAAAGAGGCAGTTTCATGGGTAACGAAGGCCAGTCCTTTGGGATATTAATTAGGGCAGGCTGCCTCCAAACTGTGTTATTTTGGCAAAGGGGTCTCAGCAAATCTATGTGTGCTCGGTGTCCTGGGCTGGCCATCAGGCAGGCGCTTCTGCTCCCTGCTGGGGGAACCCAAGGTGCGTAGTTTCCTTCCCACATAGGGAGGATTGCAGTAACTCAGCCTGGAAGTTGCAAATACATGGATTGCTGTGACCAGGTCTATGTGCAGTATTTTGTATTTCATTTCATGTAGGGTTTTCTGCAGCTTTTGCTTTTTACAGACTCGATGGTACTGAGGAGCCCTGAAAGACCACAAAACCATGGTTTAACAGCCTGAGCCCTAATGTGGAGGGGGACACTGTGTCTTTAGGAAGCACAATCTTGGTTCTGCTTGAGTTCAGCTTCGGTTAATTGTGGTCCTACAGCCCAGAAAATGTCTGCAAGTCATAGAAATTGAAATCTAAAAGGGGATCGTTTTGACTGAGTTATTTTCTGCATGACAGGGATGATGGAACTTTACCTAGTAATCCTGCACTGATTTTCATAACTGCTGGATGAATTAAAGCATGTCTTCTGGAAAAAAAATATTGATTTAATGGCTTCAGTTGACAGAAAATCTACCACATTCTTGAATAAGCTGTTGAAATGATTAATCACTTTCATCGTTAAACATTTGTACAAGATTTCTTTTTCAAAATTTCTGCTGTCAGATTCTGCTCATTGGATCTCTTTATGACTTTATTATTTTGACTAAGCATTAAGAAATATATAAATGGTGATTCTTATATGTGGAGACGGTAGTGCACTTCGCTGTGTCCAAGAGCTTTAAATAGAATTGAAAAATACCAAGCATGAGTATTCAGTTTACAGAGTTTATACAAGTGAGTGCTTAGGAGATGCAAAATATTTGCCCAAAGTGACCTTTTAAATGTGTTCCAAAAAAACCAACCTGGATGATTTCAAATAGTTTTTGTTCACCATTGAAGATTCTGAAGACAGGATGAGGTGTTTGGAAAGAGGAGTAGAAGTCTGGATTGAGTATGTGTACATGGCACCTGCGCAGGTAGGAGGGATTCACCCACCTCTCAGAGCATCACTGTCTGAGAGGTGTCAAGTGCAGTTATCCCAATTAGGTCTTCTGTTGTTAAGAACTTCAAGAAAAATAGCAATAAATACTAGATCTCTAGCGTTAGGCCTTATTTTCCTTAGAGGATGTCCATCCATTGCATGTTGAAGGTAAGCAGCAGATTATTTTCTTGCCAGAGAGCTGACAGTGTTGTGGCTTTGTTGTTTTGGTTCTTTTTTAGTGATAGTATCACCCAGCAGAACTGAAAACAGTAACAACCAACAGCCTGGAACAAAGTCACTGCCTTTTACAGCCACGTTTTAAAATGATACTGTTATTGGGACAGAGGTGTCGCCATCTGATCCTGGTTTAGGCTGCCTGTTCTCTGAGGGTGTCATGAATCTGGATTATCGCCTCTATGACAGCTTGTCAAAACAAGGTGTAATAACTGAGTAGTTCTGCTAGGTTTGACTTCTGCTACTGATGTTCCAGAAAAAAACGAAGGATTTTCTTTCTGATAGTGTACTGTAAGAGTCCCAGATCTGTTTCTGCCAGGTTTTGGAGGAAGGCAGGGAAGGATGATTTTGTTGTTTCATTTGGTTTCCACCAGGTTATGGTTAGGGGCGCTCTGAAATGGCATGTCAGTGCCTTGCTTCAGCGGAGGGAGAAGGGGTAAGTTTTATGCATGGCAGGACAAAAGGGGTTTTCTCTCTGTCACACTGTTTGAATGTGATGTGAGGAGAGAAATAAATAGCTCTTGTGCCTTGCACCCACAGCCAGCCCCAGAGCTGCGTGCTGGGAACAGTGGGCTGTGGGGCTGCACCTTCTGATTATCCGAGAAGCCTGAGGTGAAGCATTTTGCAGCTGAGTACCTAGTCTATGTACTTTTTTCAGTGGCCTACTGCTTCCAGGGAATAAGATTTAAAAAAACAAAAACATTTGAATTTATACTGCCCATCACAGTTCAGTTTAAATAACACCTATATGACACGTACTATCAAAAACTGTCAGCCTCAAAGACCCTTTCCATTGCTATTTTTTAACCTTAACACTTTGTATATCTTGCAAAAAGGAAGCCTAGGCGAGATTTTTCTCCCACTCCATACTTTGAACGTGTCACAGTTGCATTAGTTTCTTTTTCTGTGCTCACGTGGCCTCACATTTTAAGTATCTTGGTCTTCGTGTTAGTGGGAGCAGGACCAAACTCCCTTTCCTCCACAAGAATGTGTTACTGTACCTTCTTTAGATCACAATTGGTATGTAAAGTCCAGGAAGCATTCACATTTTTAATTAAGAGGGTTTAAATACTCTTAATTCATATTGCATTCACTGTCTCATATACAGTGAGGAAAGGAATAAATATTAAGCTGTTTTCAAATAGTTTTTCAAGGTAAATGTCGGTGTGGGTTTTTTTAATTGACATAAATTGTTATAGAAGGGGGGAGAGAGAAAGCAAATTCATAAAGTTAATGTTCACATAAAACTGTAAAAGGGCAGAATGTCACACATTTTATATGGAAATGTAGTGCTGCCAGTGAAAAACCCCTTGAAACTGAAGTACTTAGTTATGGATGTCGGGCATAATTGAGGCTACAGCTGCAAAATGAACCTTTCCTCAGCATAGACACTGAGGAATTCCTTTGCATTTATGCATATATTTCCAAATGAAATAGAGCATTGTGATTTTATGCCTTCCCTTTTGCAAATATAGTGGGAACAGTGCAAAATGACTGTGACTTTTAAGGCAATTTGTATTAATTAGGCTCATGAGAACAGTGTTGCTCTGTTTGGGCTTATGAACTGTTTTAGGTAAAATTTGAGCCAAATTATGACTTCTCCAGAGCAGGCATGAAAGGTAGGATGGAACATAAAGAAACCATCTGATTATGGGCAATAATTCTGCATTGTCAGCAAAAGGAGTGGCTACTATTGCTCCCAAGGAAGGAAGGAAAGCTGTACTGCACTTCTTTTCTGCCCCTTTGTAGAAACAAGCTGGGCCAAACTCAAGCAAAATATTTGTAACATGGATTACATGGAGGGCAGGGGTCACTGAAGCTGTGCTTAGGGCTGGCCAAAATTCACCTGCACTCCTGGGCGACAGCAAATCCACTCCCGGTGTGAGTTCTTAGATGTGTGAATTACAGTTCACCTTTATGTGTGTAGCTGTGCAGTGCAGCAGCAGACACGTCTCAGCTACCCAGACCACTTAGCTTCAGCTCAGGTTATTAGAATTCTTCATGGTTTCATCTCCCCTGCCTTAAATTTGATACACTAAGATGCCAGGATGGATGAAAACTTACATCTTCTTTTCCTTCTGATTTTCATCTTTTCAATCCCTTGGTGCCAGCAGTGCCCGTTTACCTAAAGGCATAAATGCTATGAAAGGAAAGGGGTTTATTGCTTTTCCAGACTATTGCCCATTACTTAAAAAGTAGAAAACTGTATTCTAAATTGTCAACTCTTCCTGAAAAAGTTGCTGCAAAATGACAACTCTTTCCTTCCCTAAGTGACAGGGGAGACCACTATGTCAGCCTGTGATGCCTTCTTATATGGATCTGAAGGAGCTGGCAGTGGCATTGCTGAGTTAATATATACGTATCTTTGAGTTGGATTGTACTCAACTACCACAGTGGAAAGAGGCACAAATTGTTAACTTCAGCACTAATACATATTCATGTAGATAACTTGTCAGCTGCAAATTGACCATAAAAATTACATCTGCAAGTGTAACTCAGTCCCATTTGACGTTCAGCGGGTGTGTAAAATATGCATTAGGCATTCACTCTGTTACTAGTAGGTGCCACACCAAGTGGAAGTAGCAGGTGACCCCCACCTAGAGATACCACATTAGATTTTATCCTTCAAAACAGTGCTCCTAAAGGAGAGTCAGTATCTTAAATTACAGTCTTTCTCCTTTGTGCTACCCTTGCCTGTGAAATATGCTTAGCTTGCCCAGCGCCAGCTGTGAATGTAGCACAATTCGTTCATTGCTGACACCAGGTTTCTTCTTCCACATGTTCCCTTTGCCAAAAGTTTGCAATTCTTTTGTAACTACTGAGATTGGGGGCTGTCTGTTAAAAGAGGGTGGCAGAGCATAGGCAATCCAGAACTCATGGGCTTTTGAGCTCTGACTGGTCCCAGGCTGAATCTTCTCCTTGTTGGACAACATGTCTCACCACCAGTGCAGGAGAGGCCATGTGCAGAACTAAGACCAGGAAAAGTACAATGCTTTTACAGCATTTTTAACTGAATCAGATTGAAAAAAAGATATGCAGCTGTCCAGGGGGCCCAAAATATTTAGAAAAAAACATCAATTGTTCTCTTGCAAAAGGCTTTTGTTCTCTATCACCAAAGCACTGTATTTTTATATGTGAATATTTGTTGCCTTTTACATGGTCCACTCCTTCAAGATTATTGCTTAATTAAACTTAACTTTATATTTTCTTAATGTTATTTAGGACAAATATATCCCTGTCTTCATTTACAGTTTTGTTTTGTTTTATTGTGTTTGAGCACTATTGTTAGTAATTGTGTTTTCTCCCCTCTCAGATTTCGTTTACTCTTCTGAGGCAGATTGTTCGTGTTTTGTCCACTTCGCTTTAGAGTCAGCCTTTACAAAAAACACCTCACCAAGTGGTTAAAATGTGTTATTTCTCATGGAAAAGTGGACATTCATTGATTCTGTGTGTCTCTGCAATAAGCAAAGGTGACAGTGCCTCTCCAGAACAGGTTAGAGTGTTCTTGGAGACTAAAGCTCACACCTTTTAAGGCTTGAGGAGCTCGGATTTATGCCTATCTCATGCTATTGAGAACTGGTCCTTAGGCCATGGCTCACAAAGAGACAGCTAGCTGATAAGTAATTATTTTATTTATGCGATGACATTAGACTCATCTGGATTTATTCACCCAGTTCAATGGGAAGTGTTTACAGAGGAAGTCCATGGGAAATCAATAAATAAAGCTTTTCCAAACGCAATCCAAGGCTGCATCTCAACAGATTTTCTTGTGGAGATTGTGGTCTGCCTCATTGGAGGATTTTATGAGCAGGTTGAACAGACATCTCTCAGAGGTGATTAAGGTGGAGTCAAAGGATGAGATCTCAGACCCCACAAAGGTCTCCTGTTCTCTGGGCTGCCCTGTAGCTCCACTTTGACAGCAGCATGGTATTCCCACACCAAACACCTTCTTGTTTCACTGGCAGGAAACTCTCCTGTTTGTGGATTTGACCCCTGTGGCCGAGATGGGTCTGACAGGCAAGTGTGTCAGGCCAGAGCTCCAAAGGTTTTGCTCTGCTCTGAGAACTGGGAACTAGAAAATAATAACCATTTTTATTTGTGATATTTCTGATGGCAGTCTTGATTTGTGGCTGATATTCATGCGTCCTTCACACAAATCTCCCTTCCCTCCCTCCCTCCCTCCACAGCCAGAAAAAACACATTAAATCTCAGTGTGCTTGGCCTTGCCAGGGACACGTCCTGTTGCTTGTGTTTGGGAATGTGAGTGTGTCATCATATCATTACAGTAATGAACCAGTTTTTAAATCCCTTGATTTCTATTTATGCTTGGCAGCTATATTAGGACAAGTCGTGTAATATCAATACTTCAGTTTTCTTAACTGAGAAAAGGGTAATGCCTCACCGGGTGCTGAGGTAGGGCTAATTACAGTTCTTCAAAATCAGAGTAATGAAAAGAGGGCCTCCAACAGAAGTGCTGTGAGAAGGGAGACGCAGGCAGCTTTCTACAGTTTTGGGGTCACCAGAGGTTCCTTGCAGCAACCAGCTTGTAGCTTGGATGGACATTCTGCCCTGAGGGTCTCTTCAGCAAAGCCAGTGAAGGCAAAGCAATGCTTTCTCTTCCCTCTGAATGGGAAACAACAGAACTGCAAATTCTTTCTGCCTGGGTGCAGAAAGATCACTCTCTATTCATTCCTTCTTTCCTACGTACCCACTCATGTGCTCTGTACACGCAAGCAACTGAGAAATTTGGCTCCTTGTTTAAAAGCAGCACGCAAATACATAACATTATTCCCTATCTCCTTTAAACCAAATCAATGCTGAGAAAGAAGAACAAGCCTTTAGAAATAATGTGGAAAGCACATGAATTTACCACTTGGCAGTAGTTTGGATTTTCAATAAAGGGGCTTGCATGGAAACTGGGACTGGGTTACCAGAAAGGTATTGGAAATGCACACGCCTCTTTCCAGCAGCTTGTAACTGCTTCAGTATAGAGGTGACCTGGTAGTACTTAGCGCTTCTCGTGCTCCTGGTAGAGCAGCTGGAATCGCTCAACACATGGCTGTACAGCCAAACTCTCTGAACTTACTCTGCCATGTCTGTGCTGTCTACTGGGACCAGTTCCTGGCTCATACATCCTGTGAACTGTGTCGAGGAACTTCTTGGAAGAGTTGTAGTTGGCACAGACCATAAGCACATTGGAGACTGTGATAACTGCTGTGTAGTAGCTGCCTGCTGGTTTCAAGACTGTGCCATGTCCTGGTTTAGCTCACTGATTTAGACAGAGCTGTTGCATCCAGAGAGGAAGCACACTGCTGGAAGGAGCCACTGGACTCACCTGGAAGCCCAGCCAGAGCATTTCTCATGTCTGATCTGAGTATAGCGATCTCTGAACCTGGTCCAGGACCAGTCTCCAGAACTGGCTGGAAGAGGCAGGTCTGCAACACAAGGCATCAGCCAGGAAAGGCTGTAATGCGGAAGGCAGGTCCTGGTGCTGCAGCACAACTTCCATCCAGCTTCCCACATCCAGCGCGCAGGGCAGAAGGGCTGGAGAGGAACTGTGCCACAGCACCACGCAGCAGTGCTGCTCGGATGGGAGTGTTGAAAAGCGTAACCAAGGACCTTCCTCCCTCAGTCCCATCACACAGAAAATCCACCTGTGCTCAGGCACACATGCTCAAAACCACCCAGACCTACAACTCCATGTACTGAGACTCACAGCTGGGCTTGCCAGGGGGAAGGTCGGCTGAGCTGGAAAACCACGAGGCATCTTGGCTGTGACAGCAGCTCCTTTTGTTAGAGGAACAGAAACTAAAGATACAGGCAGGCTCCTTCCACTAGGAGTGACTTAGTTTAGGCTGGTGGAGAAAGGCCTTACACTAAGGCTGGTGTCTGTGGGCTGTGCAGAACAGTGGCACTGCAGTGCAGAAGTGAGGGTACGTAGCATCAGCTTCTCCAAGATGCAGTTTTCACTGGAAAGCGAGAGGAGAATTGTGGTTGTTCTGCAGATCCTCGCTGTGCAAACAGCTCCCAGGATTAGCACGCCTTTTGTCATGGGCTCAGGTTCTTAACCAGCAACCAGAAATACTTCTTGATTCACACAGTCCACATTTAGCAGGTGCATAAAAATTTCAAGTCTCGTGCTCCACTTGAGGAAGCGTAATGGCTTGAACTGATTTTCAGCTCGAGTTTGGGTTCAGTGTGACTCATTAGATTACAAATTGTACAGCTTGTTGGCAGTCCTTTTCCCCACCAGCTCTGCAGCACTTCATCAGGGTCATTATTCCAGCCTTCAGCCACTCTGCTAGGGAATAAGTTTTTATCTCCTACAGGAGTCTGGCTTTGCTGCTCCCACAGTAGATATCACAGTCCAAATGGACTTCCTTCGTGCAGGCGGTGGTGGACTATTCTCTTTCTGCATAAACTCTCAAGGAGATGAGTTTCACCCCATCCCAGAATCTTCTGCTCCCCACCACACAGTGGTGCTGACCCAGTGAAATCTCCCACAAATGCAGATGTAGGAACAGGTTCCCTCCGCTTCCAGTTTGCTACACTGGCATATCCTAATGAACTGTAGCACTTCTGCATGGTAGCTAGAGCTCTCGCTGCCAACATGCCCAGCTTATGCTTAATTCTTAGTACTGAAATACTAAATACTAGATACCAGTTTTTCTTCTACGAAACGTAAGTCAGTCTACATTTTGCATCTACAAATAAATGCTGAATGGTACAAGTAGCCATGCTGAAGAGCATGTTTTTATATAAATAATTCTTTTTAATGTGTACTCTTAAATATCACATTTTGTGGTATAAATGGCTTTTCAGCTATTGGAATCAGCTCCTCTTTCTCATTTCCAAATTTTTGAATGTCCATTTCAGTGCCACTAGACAGTACTTCCAATGTAGTCTGCTAAGATTTCCCCTAGATATTGTTAATTACGGTGTTTTTTCTTGTCTGACATGAAAAGCATTACTGACATTTTAGGTTGTTTCTAGCAGTGTCATTTACACAGAAAACATATTGAGTAAAAACCTGAGGTATTACTTATTTTAAAAAACATATTAATGCTTTTATCTTGTCACTTCCCCACTTGTAGCCACATAGTCTTTCTGACCAACATAGAAGATAATGCATCCTCATTATAAGACATTAGGAATTGATGCTTTTGTTAAACTGACCTTGTTTTGCCCACTTCAGATGAATTTTGGTGGACTGCTATAAAATCATTTGGGAAAATCACACAAAGTTATCTTTGTGTTTGTTGCTTATACACCATAAAACATAAGGCCTTTCTCCTACTTTGCCATTAAGAGAGTTACAACTAGACATCTTATTAAGAAAACTCATTGAAGTGTGGTGATTGAAATATTATACGTGATATGAACATTCAAATAAAAGAATGATTCTGTGTTTGAAACCAATGACAAACATCTGTCCTTGGTTCCCTCAGGTTATTTATGTACCAGTATTGTGGGTTCATGGGCTGTCTAGCTCAGCAAGAGGCGAGGGTTTGACTTAAGCAGGTTTGTCACTTCTTATATTTGAAGACGTTATTTTCTAGCTGTGTGGTTCTAATGAGAGGGAGATGTTATTCTTCTAACAGGTTAAATGGGAAGGTATTGCCTAGGAATAGTAAAGAGTCAAAGTAAACTGAGTAAACTGACTGAATGATGTTTTGGACCATTGCAAGAAAAGGAACTTAAAATACTTTCTTCTGTTTGCAGGAATAGACAATCTCTATGAGAGGGCTCTTCACATCCGCAAACTCCTCCTTACTTTGCCCAGGTCGGTCCTTATAGTGATGAGATACCTCTTCGCCTTCCTCAACCAGTAAGTGCTTTATAATTCTCCAGGGTACTGTATCTGTATCTGTATCTGCCTTCCTCTGCTGGTATTGAAGTTCTTTGGGTTTACTCATACTCTATATGGAATTTACATTTAAGCTCCATTTAACACAAAATATGATCTTCTAATTGGCAATGAAAATAAGAGGTAATCAGCAGTTTTCATTCACATTAAAATTCCATTTGTCCAAAACAAAGTGCTGTCTGAAGTGTGGAGTGCAAGCTACAACATTAAAGCTGATAATGAAATAGCCTGTTAAGAAAAATAACACATATAAACAGTAACTACATTAAAACAGTATACTTAATTTAAAAGTAGATTTTTTTTCCTTATCTCAAGCTGATTTTAATCTCCTGATGGGAAAAATAAACAGTATATTTGAGTAACACAGGCACTAGAAGCTACCTATTCGATGCTAGGTACTGCCAGGCTAAGACTTTGTATTGCTTCTTCTATTTTCTGGTAATAGGGCCACCAGTATGGAGAACATACATCCCCTGTGTGTATGTTTGATATAAAGGAACTTGGTTCTCACATGCTGATGGGAGGATGATTGTGTGAGAAAGGGAAAGTGGTGTTTGTGTCCTCATCATCCCCCAAAAAACTCCTTCATTCTCAAAGAGAAAAAGGATGGGCAATCACACTATGTTTCTCCCTCCAGTCCTTCACAGCCATCTCTGTTTTTTCTGACCCCGGTGTTTTGGCTGAAAATGTTGATTCTTGTGCACTTTGTTGTGATTCTAGCTTTTCTCTTTTTGCTGCCATATTGTCTGTTTCCTCTTATATCTGTTTTCATATTGCCTTTTTCCTCTTTTTTTCCTAAATTTGCCCTCTGCTGTTTCATTCTGTCTTTGTGACCTTCCCCATTTCATCCATCCTGTCTGTTCCTATAGAAACAGGATCTTTGCAGCCAGGTTGTGTGTGTGTGCCTGTATTTCCTTTCTTCTAGTAATTTCTGAACCATTTTCAAGCCATATTTAAAAGACAGGCAGAGATCTGAAGTTTTATGAAAATAACAATTCATTTGAAACATTAATTCATCTCCCCAAAGTGACACTGTGTAAACATCTCAAAGGCTTATATCACAGCTTCTCCTCTACTTAGACATACCGATCGACCAGAGCTATGTGAGGTTGTACTTGTTACATGGTCGTGTTAGCTACATCTGTGCTCTCCACAGGAAGGCAATTCAGAAGGCAGGCTAAATCCCTTACTGCCTCCAAACTGCTCCTGATGCATCCACAGGAAAAAGATCTCCATAGCTTGACTTCGTGCAGATCCAAATTCTGGTTTTTGCATATGCAGTTATGCCTGCTTGGCCACATGAAGTCATGAGAGCTCACGGCACACCTCATCAGTCTAGCCTTCTGCTCAGAGGTTCTAAAGTCAGATCAGGTTGTTCAAGGCTTCATCCCATGAAGAATCTCAAAGGGCAGAGAATCCACAGCCTTTCTGGGCAGCTAGTCCCGGTGCTTGGTCACCCGTATAATTAAGAATTTTTTTTCTTACTTCCATTTGGAATATCCCCTATTGTGACTTGCGTCTGTTGCCTCTCATCCCTTTGCAGTGTGCCTGTATCTGACTCTCCCTTGTTTATAATTTTAATAGTAGGAGATTGCAGCTAGATTCTCCGGCAGCCTTCTCTTCTAAACCTGGTTCTCTTTGCTTTATAACCTGTGTGCTCCAGCTCCCCAACCATCCCAGTAGTCTTTTACTGAACTTATACCAGCCTGTCAGTCTCCCAAAACTATACACAGTGAGTTTGTGGACAGAAGGCAAGGTGGGTTTTAGGTTGTATGATAAAAACAGAAACCAGAAGTCACAAGGGCCTTCACAAGATCCAGAAACATAGTTGCCTCCAGAATACAATTCAGTTTGCCTAAGTTATTTCGCCAGTTGATGGGAGAGGTGCATCAAGGTCTGATGAGAAATGATAGACACATATATACCCTCTTAGGATCCAGTCCATTTGGGCCTCCAAGGAGAAGCACTGATGAGATAGAAGCAGCAGCGTTGATGCATTCTACATCAGCCCATTAGGCCAGCATGCGCTAAGCACAACAGTGTAGGAACATATACATATACATACATATATGTGCTATAAGCTCACTTTATAATGTGTATAGTCTATTTAGGAGATCTCATTTTTTGTTCTGTTAATTTGTGTGGGATTAAGTGTTAAACAGAACAAGAAGTCTCTAAGTTGTGATGGAAAACAAAAGTTTCCTCAGGTTTCAGAATAAGGTTAGTCACAGTGGAAAAGTCAATTTTTCTTGATTTTTCTCTCATAACAGCCTTTCACAGTACAGTGATGAAAACATGATGGATCCATACAACCTGGCCATTTGTTTTGGGCCAACCCTGATGCCTGTTCCAGACATACAAGACCAGGTGTCTTGTCAGGCACACGTGAATGAGATAATCAAAACTATCATCATCCATCATGAGGCTATTTTTCCAGATGCTAAAGAACTTGATGGCCCAGTGTATGAAAAATGCATGGCTGGAGACGACTACTGGTAAGTCAGAATTTTACCCTTCTGTTTCCTTAACAAAATCATAAGGCTGGTTGTCTGGATGACTGCTGTGATACAGAATTACTTTCTCACATGAGAAGGATGTTTAAGTTCACATAGTAAAGTGTTAGCTGTAAAAAAAACATGAAGCAAAGGCAATAATAATGAGGATCCCAACAAAAGTTTGCAGAGGAAGCTACGCTTCCATTCAGCCAGACACAGCCAGAATTCCAGGTGTACTGTGCACAGCACACAGCCAGGTAGGAAACTGTCTCTCTGGCTCTGAACCACCTTAACAAATTTCATCTTAAGATTCATTCCCCCTACCCTTTGCTCTCTTAGCAACACACATACCCTTTTTATGAATGAAAGGATTCGAAGGTTCTGGGAACTTCTTAATGACTGAAGACACTGAGGTAGAGGTGCGTAGGCTTCTTCAATAGCTGTGTATTTATAGTGGGTCGTGAGAATTATGCTGCACATAACTTTATAATGTTATGAGAACATTTTAAATAATCTCATGGCAGTGGCACATTTTTTGATACATGTTGTTTCTCTCTCTGCTCAACCTTTTGTTGCCCTCCAGTGACAGCCCATACAGCGAACATGGTACATTAGAGGAAGTGGACCAGGATGCCAGTACAGAGCCCCATACCAGCGAAGACGGTATGTCCACTACATCACTGTACCTTTGGTAGGAGTAAGTTTTACAGGTTTTTCATGCCAGAGACTTTCTGCCTTTCCTAATTGTGTCTTGTGTGAAAGAAGAGGATTTCAGTCCTGGTGTTCTGTAGCAAAACCAGCATCTTTAATCTCTCTTTGTGTGCCTTTTCAGTCTGATTCATCTGTGTTTGACCAGCTGTTTCCTTGTTCTCTCCTGATTTGCCTAGTCATAGGAAGGGCAAGAGAGAAACTATTTCAGTCAGCACATATTATTTTCTGACATAACATTACATTTGAGTGACTTTTTTCTTTTGTCTGCAAAAGCTATACTTACTAAAAGTGTGTCTTTAAATATTTCAGCTAAGGGATATTTGCAATTCAGTGAGCCCTATTTTGATGTGAATTTATAAGCTGTTCCATTTAAAAGATTTAAAACTACAAAAAAATATGTGTATATCCCCCTCAGTGAAGCTTCTGAATAGTCATTTGCTATAAATACTGGTCAAATGTACTCTGACAGTTCTGGGTACAATAAATATCCATGAAAAATCTCTTGCATCTCCATTACACCAAGTCTTCTTACCCAGATTTCCTAAAGGTATATTTCACTGTGACGTATTTCAGTTGGAGCATCCTTCAGATGTCTCTCCTAGGAACTTCTGCCCAGTTTCAAGCAAATGTAACAGAACGGAAGAGGTGTCAAAATTGGTAAATAACTACCATTTTCCTGACAATTAGTAGCCAGTTAGAGGTGAAGGATTCAGAACAGCGCTCTGTGTAGAACTGCACTATGAGCTCACTGTGTATCTTGCCAGCAGGCAACCCAGGCAGTGCAACCAGCACACGTGCACTCAGCACCCGCTGAAACAAAAGCTGCCCCGTGTCCATCTCAGAGGATGTGTGGAAGGAGGAAGAGGCAGAGACTGAGAGGAGGAAAGTGGAGGGAAAAAGCTACAAGAGAAGGATTTATTTATTTATTTATGTATGTATTTTTAAAAAGGATGTCATAAGGGATACTGGTTAGGAGCTGGGACGATGCCATAGGGAAGAGGAACAGGAAGGTCTATCTATAGGAAACCCGGCTACACTGGTCCCATTGCACACAGAACAATGTAAACAATAGTTCCACTCTTGCTGCACCCGTCTGCTTTGTCACGTAGACAAGCTGCCAGTGACAGATTGCCTGTCTCGTCCCCTTTGCTGCTATGAGGAGGGGCAGGCAGTGTCTATCAGTGCAGCTGCTTGGAGAAGAGGGACAGTTGGGTGGGCAGGCGTCACAGAAGGAGGAAAAACTGAGGCTAGGAGGGAAGTCAGTGTTCATCTTCTGCCTGGGGTATATACCCGTGCCTGCACCCACAGGAAGGAATACTGACAGTTTTGCAAGACAGCCTGTACGTGGGTTCCTCTTGACCAGCTCTGTAAACCCACCGTCTTTCTACAAAACAGCTCAGCTAAATGGTGTGAACAAACTCATAACTGCATTTTACTTTTCTAAGACAGTATAGCCATACTTTACAAGAGTCTCTTCTTCCATTGGAGGTATGAAGCAAGAGTGGAAGCTGAAGAAGCCTGTCTCTCATTTAGAGCACAAGCAAAGTAGTGAAATGTAGACAACACACCAGTTCAATATATTTGGTCCGACTTTGGAGTCCCATGACTGAACTGAAAGATAAAGGCCTGAGTGAGCATGGAAAAGAAGTGCAGCTTTTCAGCAGCAGTCAAAAGCAGTTACTTCAAAACCATGCCTAGGAAAGATTAAAACATCAGCAGGATCCAGAGGAGCAGGACTATGTCATCAACTGTGTCTCAATAATCATGGGCTCTACCCCACCACTGTGTTGTTATAAGAACAGTTTTACATTCCCCTTGTGGTGCTACCTGTGTTACAACTGTGTCACTGGTGAACACAAACCCTGGAGACAATAGCTGTCAGCAGGACAAAGCTCTGTTAAAAGCTCAAGACGTGTTTTCTTGTTCACCAGCTTGGCCAGCAGTTTAATTCTAGTTGCCCCATCACACCTTTTTAATTAATTCAGTGCCGAAAGGAAGCAGATATTTGTGTTTAGAGTGGAATAATTGTTAGTGCAGAAATATTTCTAATCTGGGGAAATACTGCTGCAAAGATAAAGATTAGCAAGCCTGGATTGCACACAGAACAGTGCTGGACTTTGGTTCCCACGTGCAAACTCTAACCCTTTTTTTTTCCATGGATATGTCTTTCCACTACGATAGCACATTTTTCTGATGTACATTACTGGCTTTACATTAAATGCATTCACCATCACTTTGCCCATACATTCATGTGTTTTTCTTTTGGAAAATTCTATTTTTAAAATGTTCTGACACCACACGTGAGAATAGATGGGAATTTTTCAGTTTGCATATTGAACTGTGTGATTGTCACTGATTGACCTGTAATGGACAAAAAAAAAACTTCTACTAAAGGAGTCTGGAGTATTTTGGGGATTTAATGTGATTGATTCATTGATCATAAGCTGGATGCATCGCTGCCAGCTGTACATGAAGAGAGAGAAAGGGAGGTGCGGCATTGCTGCTGTGTTGATCAGACACGTGATACATATTTCCCTCTTTTATGGGATGGAAGGAGCAGATTCTGTAAGGGGAGGGGGTAATAACATTGAAAATCTGATTAGTTTTATGTTAAAATGTATACATGTGCAAGACCAAGCAGCTAACCCCGTAGGAATTACACAGTTACTGAAACATAATCCAGAAGCTATGATCAAAAGCAAAAGGATTTATTTTTCTACTTTAGTTATTGTTGTTATAAAAATTACTTGCTGTACAAAGTCAAACTACAAGTGGATCTCTCTGAGCCTACTAGAATAAACTCATCTGTAGGGGCTGGCTCAGTAGAGCTAAGAATGTTCAATTACAATTTAGAAAACAACAAGACTTTTTAAAAATTAAAAATTAAATTATGTCTGCAGAAGAAAAATCTGGCATCTTAGGGTAAAGAAGGCTGAAACTTATAGGTGAACATATAAATACTTCATAACTACTTAATTTTAAGCATATAAATTGCTTTTTTTTTGCCCTAAGGTTACTGATGTTCATGTATTTCTGTTGATCCCTGAAAAGGAAAGAGGGAAGGAGAAGTAGATGACTTTTACTATAGTGTTTTCAGCCATTTCTTAAATGTGCAGAAAGCATTCTTTAAGGAAAACGTTTCTTTTTTCTCCTAAACCTGGAAATGAAATTTAATTTGTGAAGTTGAGAACATTCGTACTCAAAGTGAGGTAAAAAAAATATCTGTAATTTTGCTGCAGAAGAACCTTTATCTGAAAGTGCCTCTGTGGTAAAGTTTCAAAGGATATTGTTCATGTTTTGCTGAAGCAGTTTTTAGCACGTTTCCTTTACCTTCAGTTTGCTGGATATTTTTTATTCTTGTTGGAGGCATATGGAAAAGAATGATGACTAAGTTTGTTTTCAAAGGAAGTAAGACAGAATTTCCTGAGGAAGTTAAACAGATGGGTTTCTCCTGGGAAAACATACATACAATTAATATTATACTGTTCATAGATATCTCGTAAACATAGGGTGAAAATTAAGATGATAGGTCTGCTGGAAACAAAAATTACAGGGACATGTAAAACTATAAGTTGTTGTTGTGCCCTCAACTTGGTAATTTTCCTGTTTTTCAGCAGCTTGTGCTGTGATCGATGTGTTGCCAAATTCTGTTCTGCTGACACCTTGCAACATTTCTTCACTTTTGCTGTTCCCCAGTCAGGGAACTGCTGTCCCGAGGACAGTTTTGGAATTGCAAAAAGCCACTGTTCTCTGATGGGATGAAGAAGAGAATAAAGGCATTGGGAGATAAAGTCCTCCCAGGGAGTTCCTGACAGCCGGAGTACACCTGCAAGAACTGAGGAAGAGCAGAGCAGAGCAACAGCAAATCCCCCACCCAGAAAATGCAGGGTGGTCACCCCTCTTTTCCATTAGCTCCTTGTGCCCTGAGGCCTGGAGGGCATCACAGTGCCGCTTCTGTGCCATCACCCCTATAGGGCGGTTACTGCTACATCTGGCACTCCAATCCCAAAATTAAAATTAACCCTTCTATTTCGTCTGCCCTTTCTGCTCTTCCAAGCAGTGGAAGTCCTTCCCACAGTTCTTCAGATTGTCCTAGTTTTTCACTTCTATAGCACTGCTTAAGTCACTAGAGATGATCGCTCCTGAGATCCTATATGTCATCAAATACTTCTTGCTATTGAAGACGAATGCCCCCAGGTATAGACAGAGCAGTGCCATTACATTTCCCTCTGAGCTGTTAATTTTACTGTTAGACATTCAGTACCACACAGATTTTGAGTTACAGATCCAAATTTAGCTTTCATCACCTTTGCTTTTTTGGAAATGCTTGTCTGTCATTCAGTAACCTTGATATTAAATGGCTTCGCTTTTCAAAATGCATTTATTTCTAGGAGTAACAGTCATGGTACCTTGGTTTTAACTATTAAGGCTTGACCTGTAACAAGGTGAATTGCTATTTAAGTACGGTCTCAGTACAGTTTTCTATAGGAAAGTTCTCTGCATGCAAAAGCAACATTCAAGCAAAGAAAATGCCCTTTTCAAAATAGTAAAATCCATCTGAACTTATTGTTGGTTCTATTAAGAAAACTGTGTGAGATCTAGTGGGCACTCCTCCGTGAGAAGGCAGGATTTGTTACCCAGGCAGTCTAACAAACATGTCTCAGAAGTCACATCCGTTGTGTGTAATTCCCAGTTCATACAGCTGGTTCCAGTGGGGCAGCATCCTTCAGGCCTCTGAGAAAATATGTGAGCCCTGCAGGCAATGGAAGGGTACAAAACATCCCCATCGCCCACTACACTCACATTAGTGTTATTCCACTGAGAGAGATAGAACTATTTCCAATTTAGTCCATTAATTTGTCAATAAAAAGACCTGCTTGCTCAGCTGTGTTACTGCATGGCCCATAGCTAAGCAGAGTGGGGGTTTATCAATCAATCAATTCAGTACCCATGACTGTTATCAGTTAGCTTCAGAGAACATCAAAGGAAAATATGAACAGGAAATTTGGGATTTTCTTACTTGCTGTAAAGTTTTTTGTTTGACTGGATTTTTTGCATTTTAAAATACTACTCCTTAGTGAGTGACTGACTCTCTGAAACCTGAGAGCTTTTGCTTCCAAATTCTTGACCCACTCTTCCATAACCCATAACTTACCTGCAGTCTGAGAGCAGTGTATTCATACAAACATCGATTCCTTTTCAGTCCTACCTGATCCCTGTAATACCTTCTCATAACAAATTCCACAAGAAATGTGCATGATATCTGTAAAAACAGCTTTTGCCAGTGTTCTTTTTGTCGATACGTTATTGCCATTCGATTTAACATTGCCCTCTTAAACAGGACACAAGATAAACAAGTGTGTTTAGTTTCATATCTTTTCATCTGGTGATAGTGTCTTTCTCTGCCTCTATCCACTTTGTCACATCCATACTTTCTGTTAGAGGTAGACCGTAGACAGACTATCTAGAAATGGAAAAAAGATTGAGTATTTGCATATACACACCAGCATTAGAAGTTTCCTGGTTTTCCAGAATGCTTCTATGGGTTTTTTTTGCATTTTCATTGCTTAAAAACATAAAACCAAGAAACCTATCACCCCACACCCACTCACCACGGAATGCCTGCCAGTGAGCCATCCATTTTCAGGAATTTGTACTGTTATTGCTAGATTCTTATCCGCATTTGTATAAGCGAAGTCATTCCTGCCAGCATAGATTAATTTTGCATTTGTAACAGTGAAATCCCCATACCACTGTATGCCATCTCTGGAAGGTTTCCGAGTTTATAACTCCTGAACACCCTGCAGTTCATCACTGACGGGAGCTCTTAGCATGACTGCAGAAGCAGCAAACCACAAGAGAGCCTTCTGCAGCCTGAGCAAGTTATTGAAAAAAACCGAGCTGCAAACTATAGCATTAATAAAGATGCTATCATTATGTTTTCATGGTGCAGGATGAAGTTAATTTTAAAAAGACATTCCTGTGCAAAATGTGGTAATAAAGGGACAGTGGATTTCACTACCAGACTCGTTCTTTGGGGAATTACAACCTCAGCGATTTTAATTTGTGCCAGACAGAAAGTTGCTATGCTAGTCATCATCCCAGATGTTAATTTCCATCTAAATACTGCTCTAATTATGTAAAGAAATTTGTGACTTTGAGGACTTTGAGTTGTTGGAATCTACAGAGTGCATGAATGTTAAACCTGGATTTTACAGGTTTGTGTTTTGAGACCATGATAACAAATTTTAATCTGACTGAGCTCAGGTGTTTTTGATTTTATGCAGAAGAAACCAGAGGTTGTTAAAATCACGACTGTCCCACTGATGTCTGGGCACACTTCTAAAGATGCCGGCAGGCAGACACTCTGCAGGAGTCCTTCCCTGACATCCATAGGTTTCCGACCCAGGCACAGATTACAGGATGGAGTCCATTTACTGGCATAAGGCTGAATTTACCAGCACATTAACAGAATATTAGCCAGGGCTCCTGTCACCAATGTCTGACTTCAGAAAATACCAGCCTCCCCAGGAGAAACTGGGGATGTTGGAGCAGGCAGAGCTGCCTCACAGTATCACAGAATTGTTGAGGCTGGAAAAGAGCTCTGAGATCAGAAGGTCCAGCCTATGTCCCAACATCACCACATCGGCTGGACCACGGCACTAAGTGCCACACCCAGCCTCTCCTTAAACTCCTCCAGGGACGGTGACTCCACCACTTCCCTGGGCAGTGCATCCCAGTGCCTGAGCACCCTCTCCATGAGGAAGGGCTGCCTGAGATCCAACCTAAACCTGCCTTGACGCAGTTTCAGGCCGTGCCCTCTCGTCCTGTCACTGGTTGCCCGGGAGAAGAGCCCGACCCCCACCTGACTTCACCCTCCCTTCAGGCAGTTGTAGAGAGTGATGAGGTCCCCCCTGAGTCTCCTCTTCTCCAGGCTAAACACCCCCAGCTCCCTCAGCCTCTCCTCACAGGACTTACCCTCCAGTCCCTTCCCCAGCCTCATTGCTCTCCTCTGGACCTGCTCCAGCCCCTCAGTGTCTTTCTTGCCTTGAGGGGCCCAGCCCTGCACACAGGGCTTGAGGGGAGGCCTCACCAGTGCTGAGCACAGGGGCACAATCGCATCCCTGCTCCTGCTGGCCACACTGTTCCTGACACAGGCTAGGATGCCACTGGCCTTCTGGGCCACCTGGGCACGGAGGCCTCGGGCAACTTCAGGTCACACAGGGACTGCCTCTGTGGAGGAGTCGTCCCCAGGTGATCTGCCTCACTCAAAAACGGTGTTAAGGAAGCAGATTAAAGCAGTAGGCTTTGGTGTGGTGTAAAACACTAGGTTTTTACTAGGTCTGCACACTCATCGTGTAAAAGACAGCAATCTCATAGCCCAGTTAGGCAGAGTGTCCACTCGCGCACAGGGAAATGCTGTCTTCTTATCTTTGCCACTGCAGGCACTCTTGTTTACTTCTCCACCGTCATCTTGGTTCCTCAGGCCTCTGGTCATTCATCTGAATTTGTCCATCTTATTGTTAGAGGTCTTTATTGCCTGGCCTCCATCCCACTACCCAGTCATGAAGGCAGCAGGAGGCAGAGGCCTCTCTCCCGGCAGTGGGAGAGGCATTTGCATCTGCTGGTATGTTTCCTGCAGCTTGCAAAGCAACCCAGATGTTTCACACTTGGGGCACAGACTGATTATGTTTCTTTGTCAGGGATATATTAAAACTGCTGCCTGAAGTCTGCCTTAGCTCATCTGATCTCTGTCAGCTCTGCTCAATAAGAATGAGCACTGAGAAGATGCAATAAATGAGTTTTATGCAGCCAAGATGAGCAGATAAGCCAGCATGGAATGTGATATCTCTTCTTCTTCCCTCCCTACACAGAGTGTGAGCCCATAGAAGCTATAGCCAAGTTTGACTACGTTGGAAGATCTGCACGAGAACTCTCTTTCAAAAAAGGAGCTTCCCTTCTGCTCTATCACCGAGCATCTGAAGACTGGTGGGAAGGAAGGCACAATGGAATTGATGGCCTTGTCCCTCACCAGTACATAGTGGTGCAGGATATGTAAGCAGTGTCTGGTGTGACTAGGTTCTTGGTGGGGTGTAAATATACGCTGAAGCAATTAACAGAGTAATTTCCAAATGGGACAGTGGTTTGAAGGCTCAGGTAGATTAAATGTTTGCCTTCTACACAGGATGCCTCTGTCTTTATTGCTGTAAACTGACATCTCTTAATCAAAAGCTACTACTAAGCTAAGCTACTTTGTTTATGCATATGTTCCTAGTACATTAAGAGACAGATGATGCTGCACCTATTTTAATTTGGCTGTCCCTTTGTAGCAATTGCTGACATTTAACTTCAGAGTAGCAAGGGCTGGAGAAATGCAGCCCTGAACTCTTGTTTTACAGTATTAAGCATGTGCTTTGCCAAGGATGACAAAGTTCCTCTTTACAGAAAATTTACACTTGAAATGTAAAGAGCTCACCAAACAGAAGGATTATAAGCAATTTTTGGAGACATCGGGAGGCTGAAGTGCTTTATAACATGTCTGCTTCTCTTAAGGGGATTAAAATCTGGGAGTGACAAGATGCTCTCTGTCACATTTAACTCACTGGCTTCTCATCTCACTGTGTGTGTTCTGTCCAGGGATGACACTTTCTCAGATACACTGAGCCAAAAAGCAGACAGTGAGGCCAGCAGTGGGCCCATAACTGAGGACAAGTCATCATCAAAGGACATGAACTCTCCCACTGACCGTCACTCTGACGGTTATTTAGGAAGGTAAGCTTGAGGATAACATGTTTTCAGTAGTACTGCTCGCAGCTCAGGAGACAGCCATTACTTCTCCATGTGCTTACAGTGGGTCACTCCAGCCTGTCCTATAACCACTTCTTCGTTGGTGCAGGCAAAGAAAGAGATCAGAACCTCCACCTCCTCTAAGACGCCCCGGCAGGAGCAGTGATGGTCCCTGCCCAGTACACACACCTCATCCTCTCTCAAACTCATCCGTGGATCTGGGTTCGCCCAACCTGGCAACTCACTGCAGTCCCAGAGCCCTCCTTCAAAATCGCAACCTCAATGCCGACAGCCCTGAAAGGCGGCGCAGACCTGGACATGGCAGTCTCACTAACATCAGTAGGCACGATTCTCTAAAGAAGATTGACAGCCCTCCAATTAGAAGGTCCACATCATCTGGTCAGTACACAGGTTTCAATGACCATAAACCACTGGACCCAGAGTCAATAGCTCAGGTTTGTGTCTCTTTTTTCCTTATGTCACACTCTGATTTTGTGAGGAACAAGTCTGAGTGGGTAGCACAGCACAGAGCACATGCATGGGTAGGAGTGTGTGTGCAAGAAAATATCCTCTTTAGCTTTCTAAACAGCATGTGTGTGAAAGAAGATATATTCAGGGATCCTGGATAGAAGAAGCACAAGGGGGAATAGACATTGCAGAAGCAATAAAAAGAAATTATTGCCCGTTATACTGTAATGAAATTGCCTGTGCCACACGGAACACTGGGATAGTATACGATTACAATAGCTGCGTAAATCATTGGGCTCTGGTGAAGGCTGGCCTATTCTAACTTGCATGTAATTAGTGTTCAGTTATTTCTCAGAATTATGGTATGCAGAAAAGCTCTGCAGCTGGCTAGTAGCAGCCATTGCTATTGAAAACACAGATTTACATTCCAGGATCATGTGAATTTTACATAGTTTTCCTGAGAACCTAGTGTGCAAGACGTTGCACCTGAGCTGTCATCGTGAGCTATTTTATCCCTGTGTGAACACTCACCAGTCTCATTCCTAGCAGTGCAGAAGTGAAAAGGATGGGACAGAGAGCAAACCAGTCATCAGATTCGTCTGTTGTGCAGGGCTGGTAACAGCTCTCGAGCAAATAGATACTGTTGTCTTCAGAACTCGTGTTCCATCTAGGTAGGATAATATGATTACTAGGGATATCCTGAGGGTACAATATGATTGCAAAAGTATTTTACAGTGACACTGGCACTTACGTTTTAAAATTTAATGTGCTGGTAATGCTTGCTTTCAAACTCTGTTTCCAATGAGGGATAGAAGGGACTGCCATTCTTGGGTCAGAAAGCTGCACCGTGTATTAGAGTTAGAAAATGTAAGTGTTGTTAGTGTTTTATACTTTTCTGGACCCACATACAGTGCTGTTTGGCTTAAGCTATGTTTTGGTGGGTTTAGTTAATGCGTAGACTAGTGGGAGAACCCAAACTTTAATTAAACTACATGAAAGTCACTGTAAGCAAACAGGGAACGTCTGGTATTTTAGCCTTAGCTGTATGTCAATACAACTGAAAAGTAGTAAACCAGTGTCTTGGTGCATTCTTTTAGCATTTGTGCCAGAAATACTGATGAAAAAGAATAATTTCTTAGGTAAGCTTACTAAAGAATTTCGTGTTTTTTTCTGCCTAAGATTTAACTAAGAGAAACAGGAGAGAAGAGCTGATAGACACACAGGCTTTATTTCTTATAAAAACAAGTTTTATAATCTGTGTGAAGGAATACAGATCTGGAACACCTGAGGTACTAGATGAGGGGAGCAGTTGGCTAAGACTTAGGAAATAGACTAAAATATTTACAGCTGTCAGTATCCAAGAGATGACAGAAATGTTCACAGTTAAAAACACTTCTAAGCAAATATCCATTGTCCTGACAATCATTTATAAAATAGCTTGCAAGTTTGGTTTAATTGATTTTTTTGGTTCCCTATGTAAGCACGTTAGGTATTTGTAATGTTCAATCAAAGCTGCCATCTCATCAATCGTAGTGTCTTTCAAATAAATCTGGTGGGAATTGGTTTTAGCACTATAATATTCATTAGAGAGAGGATGGTTGGCAAACTCATTCCTGCATTTTTCACCCCGTCCCCTTGCTCCTCCGGGGCTTTGCCTTCAGTGGCAACTTGAATGACGTGCTGCTCTCCCTGTGCTCTGACCCAGGACATCGAGGAGACGATGAACACAGCGCTGAATGAGCTCCGTGAGCTGGAGCGGCAGAGCTCGGCGAAGCACGCCCCCGACGTCGTGTTGGACACCTTGGAACAAATGAAGAACACCCCCACCCCAGCCACCTCCACGGAGTCGCTCAGCCCGCTCCACAGCGTCGTATTAAGGAGCTCTGAGCCTCAGATCCGCCGTAGCACAAGTTCTTCCAGTGACACCATGAGTACTTTCAAGCCCATGGTGGCCCCTAGAATGGGAGTGCAGCTGAAACCTCCCGCTCTTAGGCCAAAACCTATTGTTCTTCCAAAAACAAATCCTAGCATAGGGCCTGCCCCTCCTTCCCAGGGTCCAGCCGACAAATCTTGCACAATGTAGACAGCTCAACCACCCACAGTGCCCGGCTGGGGTATGCTAGGGAAAGGAATGGATTAACGATAGAAGTCGGGGCTCCATAACATCGTTTGTTCATGTTTGTAACTGGAGAGGCTTTGGTTTTTCGGTGTTTTTGAATGTATTGTCTGAAACTAGCTACATCAACATGGGCATTTGTATTTTGTATGGTTTCAATTAAAAGAAAAACTGGACAATTGTGCATCGTTTTAAAAAAACAAACTTAGACTTACTTGAAAACTTGATGCTGCACCATTTGTAATAAAACCAACACAGATCACAAACAGCTTGCCACGTTGTACCATACTTCACAGTCTTACTGTAACTATATAATAACAGATCCTGCACAAAACTAAGGGGCGGGGAGGGGCGGGGAGGTGGGACCTCTTATTTCTGGGTCACCAAACCAAATCTCAAGCAGGTTAGTAAGAGCTGAAATCTAGCATGTGAGGATTAAGTGTCTGTGTGGAATGTTGAAGTCATCTCAGGCCACATTTCTTAGTTAAGGCACACCAAAAAAAAACCCACCCCACCAAACCCTCACAAACTCTCATAATTGGCACCAAGTTTTAGCTTTTCTTGTTGGCAGTCTCACTAGAGACAATCGCTGGATGGATCTCGAGGTCACATTGTTCTCACCAATAAAAAAGCAGCATTCCAGGTCACAGCTAAAGCACATCTCCAGGATAGTATCTAGAAACTAACTCCTCTTGCTGCCCTCTGTAACGGTGTACCTTTTCCCATGAAGCTAGACCTTAATCTCCTGATATCACATTTTTCACAAAAGCTAAAGTCATTTAAAGTTTGTAGCTGAGTGAGCCAGGCTCTGGGGAGTACGTGAAGCTGTTGGTCCCTCCGGCAGGCTGATAGGTGATTAAAAGGATCAACTAAACAGTAATTCAGCAAAGCATCCCATTGACTTTATTGCTCAGTGCCCAATTAAGGGCAGGATTTGGGTTGGAACAGTCGAGGTTTCGAGCTGACCCAGCTCTGCTGGCTGCCTTGCGCAGCGCAAACACCCTGCAAACACCTCGGCTGTGCTGACAGCAGCAGGACAGGGACTCTCTGAAGAGGGAGAGTGACTGTGAGTCAGTGATTCAGGGGTCCCTCACGCAACAGACAGCTGAGTTTCTGCCTCCTAGATTCAAGCTGACTAAAGTTTTCCCTGACTACTTTCCCCCTGCTTCTCCCCCCCCCCTTTTTTTTTTAAATGCCAGAAATCAGTACCTTTCTTATGTCTGTGTGAGTGGCGACCGTCAACTTGGCTTAGCGTTCTGGTGTTAAACTTTGGTAGGAGAGAACTAAATGTACAGCTGTTTTGCACATTGCAACAGTAAGCCATAATGTTATTTCTGTGACTGTATTTTCCGACAGACGATCCAGAATATAAGTTTCAGTGAAGAATATGGGGGGGAAAAAATCTATTGTGGCCCACCTACAGGAGTACAACTGACTTTAAGTAAGCTCTGTCTTTCCACATACTATTGAAGATCTCACTGTTGGAAAGCTTGAAGTTGTACCACCCACTATACATAAATGGTTGAGTTGGGGAGGAGAAGAGTAGTGTCAAAACTCAACAGGCCTAATCGCTGAGATGACAGGAAGTGTTTCCTGTCGTTATTTAGGAGCGACTTATTCCTGCTCTGTTTCACACCCTGTAGATTGGTAACGTGAAGCCCCAGGTGGGAAAAGTGCCCCGTAAACCACGAGCCAAATTGCTCCTGCTCTTTGAAACCCCATCTCAATCTGTCCGCAGACTTCACGTGCGTCTGGATTAGAGGCAAAGTCTTAATCCACCTCGGCCAACTGTGCAGCATTGGGCTGCGAAACCTCTGGCCCTCTCAGCTCTACTGCCCAGTCCTAAAGCCACCAGAGGGTCTGTTCACTCGGTTGGGACCAGAAAGTGTTTTCAAGTAGTTCCCCAGTTTACTTAGAATCAGTGGAACGAACTGGAATTTCAGCTTTCATTTACATGCAGTTTTAGTCTAGTGGTTTTTTAAATTAACCCACCTGGCATAACGGAGATGGATACTTGTATCTTTAAATTGCATAGGGAATTTTGTATGTTTAAATAACTGTACTGGACTCCATAATGCTTATATTAGAAATGTTTAGCAAAAGAAAATATTAGAAACAGTGCATTTAGTGAATGCACCCACTTAGTGCATTCACACAGTTAAATGTGTAGTTTGATGGTTATTATAGATACTTAAAGTATAGTAAGTGGATATGTAACAGGAAAGACTGCTACAACTACAGACGTACTAAAGGGTAACTCCTGCACACCTAATCCAATCAGTATTGTCCTTTACTGTCAAGTTTGATAAATTGCAGTACTGGTAGCTTCCTGCTTGTTGACTGTTACCTAATTGTGTCAATGTACATCTGTAGTATGTACATGTGAAAGTGCCTTTAAATTTTAGAGGAGCTTTAGCCTTGCTCTTGTACTGTTGCATTTCCATTGCATCTTTCCCCGTTTGTGTATGGCTGCATTCCCATTGCATTCCTTCCACTCTTGAAGAACAAATAAAAATCATGGAAATTTCACAGTTCTGGAAGAGAAATGTACTGTTAATCTGTTGTGACAATGCACTTTTTATGTATAGTACTGTACATTCTTGGCATGTACCATTACAAGCTTCAGTATACATTCAGGTTTGTTCCTCATAGTGTATCTTTATAATAAAGAAGATAGTTCTGTCTGTGCGTGTGGTTTTGCTGGGTAAACCCATGTAGCTTCTAACATGGACTGCCAAGCTACCTTTACCTTCCACATAAAGGGAAAACTATTAACATCCCCCAGCCTCCCACACCCTGCCCTGCATCACGTCCCATCACTGTCTTGGCCTGAAGAACAGCTTGTTTGCGGACAGGCTGCTACCTAATTTGAAAAGCAACATCCCCATAAGCTCACCCAAGGCCCTCCATACCTCAAGAACCCCACATGGTTTCCCCCTGACCCCACTACCACTGGCTATGGGAACCCATCATCCACTCAACCAGTGCCCCACCACCACCCTCCTGCTCCCCACAGGAAAAATGGGGGTAAAAAAGCACACCATCTTACATATGTTAAAAACACAGTTCCAGACTGAAAAGAATAAAAAAGTCTACATAAGGGCATTTCTTACAGCAGAAGAAGGGATGCCATCGCTCTGAGGGGTGGGGAGTGCCACAGGTGAAGGTTGTCTTCAGTGACCTTGTTTCTGAGTAACAGTGGCAAAACACACACCTCCACAGCTGGATCCAGGAGCTGGGCAGCGGGAGCTGTGAGCGTCAGGCTGATGGCTGCATGAGAGACGTTCAGCCCTGGATCAGATGCCTTTGAGGACAATTCCCGGGTTGGACTGTGGCTGCCCAGGTAGGTCAATCTTGCTGCCCAACTTAGAATGCTGTTCCTTCATGGAATCATTAAGGTTGGAAAAGACCTCTAAGATCATCAAGTGCAACCATCAACCCAATACTACCATGACTACTAAACTGTATCATGAAGTGTCACATCTACACATTTTTTTCGACACCTCCAGGGATGGCGACTCCACCACTTCCCCAGGCAGCCTTTTTCAATGCCTCATGACTCTTTCAGTAAAGAAACTTTTCTTAATATCCAATCTAAACCTCCCCTGGTGCACCTTGAGCCCATTTCCTCTCACCTGTTCAGGGGGAGACGAGCTACTTGGAAATGCATTTCTAATACTTCATTTAAAAAAAAAAAATTGAGGGGCAGCTACTGCAGCTGAAAGGGCCAGCATCAAAGTCATCTCTGATTGTGGTTGAGGACCACCTACAGATGCCTGTAGAGGAAGAAGGGGATGGATGTCAGGCAGTATGGGGAAGTACAGGGGGACAGATACACTGGCTACCCCAGCTCAAAGCAAGGCTTTTGTTCGTCATGCTGGGGAACGTGCCATAAGGCAACTGTTTGTCAGTGACGTCACCGATCAGCCCATGGTGGCAGCCGTTGTATTGCAGCATCCAGCAACCTACTTTGGGTATTTCTTCCTGTCCCCTGCTGCACAAAAGCTAAGTCAGCAGCAGACAGCAAAGGTCGTTCTCATTCAAGGGCCTGCACAGCCCAGAGGACATGTAACTCAATTGCCACAGTCAGCCCGTACACTGGTGAGGAAAGAGGCTTCTGTGGTGGCTTTTAATCTACTTGAAATAAATACAAAAACACATGAAAAGGGGTCTCCTCCTGTTGTGCAACGTGAAGTTTCAGTGTCGAGCTGCACTGACTTCTTAGCTTGCTTCCAGGTTTTGTAGTGGAAAAAAGCCCAGCTCTCACGGATACAGCCAAAGGTTTTGGCAGGTGGCTGGGGAATTGCTGACTTTACCAGCACTCAGAAAAGCAAAGGGGAGTTGTTTTGCTGAGGAAAGCATATTAACTGAACAGAAACTGAGCAGCAGTGGCAGTGTGGTGTTTAGCTCTCACTGTTTTAAGCCACTTGCAGCTCCTGGATACAGCACTGACCCAGCCTGCACAAACACCTCCTCAGTCAGCTTAAAGAAACCATGGAGGCTCAGCCCAGGTTTTAATCTCTCCTTGATAGAGACTCATGGTTTGTCACTTACTCTCTGGCTCACAGGGAATTACCCTGCCCAGAAGGTTTTGTAGTCACTCTGTTCAGTCACTGCTATTTCATGGAACAAGCCTTGACACTACTCCAGATGGTACTGGTAGATGGGGAACCACCAGAACCAGCCTAAGCATTGACTAGTGATGGTACAGGATGGAAGAACCATTCTTGTAGGTAGAAATACTCCTTTTTCCATGAACTCCGCTCTTGGGGGAGAAAAAAAAAACCACAAACCTATAATATATGAATCATAGAATCATTTAGGTTGGAAAAGAACTTTAAGATCATTGAGTCCAACTATTAACCTAACAATGCCAGATCCACAACTAAATGATGTCCCTGGATATCTTATCTACATATTTTTAAAGACCTCCAGGTATTCCTGTATCAGGAATAGTGTTGTCAGCAGGAGTAGGGAGGTGATCATTCCCCTGTACTTGGCTTTCATGAGGCTGCACCTCAAGTACCGTGTCCAGTTTTGGGCCCCTTACTACAAGAGGGACATTGAGGTGCTGGAGAGGGTACAGAGGTGGGCTGCCAAGCTGATAAAGGATTTGGAGCGTGTGTCATGTGAGGAACGGCTGAGGGATTTGGGGCTGTTTAGCCTGGAGGAGGCTGAGGAGAGACCTTATTGGTCTCTACAACTACCTGAAAAGAGGTTGTAGCGAGGCTGGGGTTGTCTGTTCTCCTTAGAGGCAAGTGATAGGACAAGGGGAAGTGGCCTTAAGTTGTGCCAGGGAAGGTTCAGGTGGGACATTAGTAAGAATTTTCAGGTTGGATATTAGGAAGAATTTCTTTACTGAAAGGATTGTTGGGTCGCTATTGCAGGAGGTGTTTAAGAGACAGGTGGGTGTTGTGCTGAGGGACATGGTTTAGTGGTGTTGATGGGGCTAGGACAGAGGCTGACTCAATAATCTTGAAGGTGTCTTCTAACTGAAACTGTTCTATGATTCTATGATTCTACAATTCTATGATTCTATTATTCTATTTGAAGAGGTGACTGTGTGAAATGCTTGTATTTTCCTCCCTCTTGCTTAATCCTTGCTCTGCATATTTCTGAGTTACTCCTTTGCCTTCTATTTTACTCAGGGGTGTTTGCAGATCATGCAGCTGACAAAACCAGTCTCTGTGGCTCCAGGAGACCCAGCCTGAGGATGTTTTCCTTCTGGGAGCAGTCACAATGCTGGGATTTTTATGTGTCCCCCACATCCAGCCCCACTGGATACACCACCTCCCTCTGGCCATCCCTCTCCTTGCCAGCCCCAGCAG